GATTGATGAACGTTGGTGTCCATGAGGTTAATGTTATTTCTGAGGTGATGGGGTGAAATTTGCAGTGATTCATAATGCATTGTGGAGTCCTGTAGCTCAGTGGTTGAGCACTCGCTTTGCAAGCTAGAGATCTGAGTTCAATTCCAGGCAGGGCGAAACCTTGGGCAAGTTTCCTTACTCCACACAGAGCCTAATAATAATCCCTCCAAAACCAAAAACAATAATAAATTGGTCATTTTCAATCCATGACTGTTTGTGGGACATTGCTGTGCGCAATTGGCTGCCGCGTTCGCCCACAAATATACAGTCAATTCACTTTACAGTGTGTTCTGTGAAGCGCTTTGGGACGTCCTCCCGACGTGAAAAGCGCTATATCAAATGCAAGGATTATTATTATTATTATTTGATATGAGATTGGATCGATCTCATTGGAAAACGCCAATTATAACATATCGCCAGGTGCTAAACAACACATGCTGCAGCTACGACATAAGATAATTCATGAGGTGAATGACTAGTTTATCTGAAGGATTATTTGCCAAGATGCCAGGAGAAAATCCCTTTGGTTCTCAAATGGTTTAATGGGATCTTCACAGCTTTTACAATCATTGGGCCCAACCCCCCCCACCCACTTTGACTCCCATCCCCAATTTGAATGCCCAGCCAGCATTGTCGTGCTTCGAAACCTCAGAAGGGTGCTATATAAATGTAAATTGTATTGTACAATAGAATACAATACAATTTAGATTTAAACGTACCCACGGAAGGACGTCTCAAAGCACTTAACAACCATTTAAGGACTACAGGCAGACAGGCTTAAAGTTTCATCCAAAAGAAAGCATCTACAACAAGTGCTCCTCATTACTGCACTATAGTCTCAGCTGAGACCATGAGCTCCTGATATGGTGCTTATATATACCACCTTCCGGACCAGAAAAGCAAGTGCTACCGACAATCTTGGTAGAAGAGATTGAGCTGAGAAAGCAAAGATTTATTTTCAGATGCAGCCCAAGTCTGGGGATTGTATCTGTCTAATGCGTTAGTCAATGAGCTTCCCAAACATCATGCTGAAGCTGGACAGTGCTGTTCTGGTGTAATGCTGTACGTGGAACACTGTTTCTGTGTTAGCTTTTGTGTGAAGCAAATTTGTGAAAATAGATTTAATAACAAAGTGGGTTAGGAGAGAAAGGAAAACTAGGAGATGTCTCACACAAACTGCACACACCCCATTAGCCAAATTACTGAACTTCCAGCAATATATTCCTAACATTGCCTTTGTCACCAGCAGAATTTTAATGTCTGCATTTGAAACATCTGCTTTTGCTTTGTAACTATTTCAGATAGTGCAAACCTGGATTTGTAGAGCTATGTGACTGGCATGTAAACTTGAACCATAATTTGCCCACAGAACACACAGTCACTGCACCTTACGGTATATCCTCTGAATCTCTTTGGGACATCCTCCCGACATGAAAGGCTTTATTATAATAATAAAATAATAATTATTCCATTTGATATACCGCCTTGCATGTGAAGTGAACATCCCAGTTAATGGTTTGCTTTTGTAAACTTCTTATTGTTCCAGGTACCAGTTTTCATGGCTTTGGATACTTGTCTCTGCCATTGCAAGACTTTCACTTTGGTGAGTCGGCAACATTATCCTTGCGCTTCTATACACTCGCATCCTACGGAGTCCTCCTGACATTGGCTGATACTGCAAATTCCTATGATCCATGGCTCTTACTACTGGAGGAAGGACATCTTACTATCCAGCAAGGACTAGATAGTAAACGCAATTCCAAACTTGTCACCAAACATCCAGTCAACCTTGGCCACTGGCACCAGGTATGGGAAGATATTTATCACTTCACCTGAAAACGCCAAACATGAAACAAATCATTACATAGTATTATGTTCTGCAACTATCTTCATATGGATCTACCTTTGATATTGAACAGAACAATTTATTTTATACATGGGTCTCACAAGATAGTGCAAAATCAATATTGCATGAGTTATATAATGTTACTCTTAAGGTCAAATGTAATGGAAAGAGTTGTTGCCTCCCAACTGCGCTCTTTCCTTTCCACCCATTCTCTTTTTGAACCCCTTCAGTCAGGTTTCCGTGCTGCCCATAGCACAGAAACTGCCCTGGTCAAGGTCACCAATGATATCCTGACCATCTGTGACCAGGGCTCCCTCTGTCTCCTCGTCCTCCTCGACCTATCGGCAGCATTCGATACGGTCGACCACGCTATCCTACTCCACCGCTTGTCCTCCCACCTAAACCTTCAAGGCACTGTCCTTGAATGGTTTAGGTCGTACCTTTCTCACCGTCTTCACTTTGTCTCAACGAATGGCTTCTCCTCCACCCCCCGTACTGTCTCATGTGGTGTCCCTCAGGGCTCTGTCCTCGGTCCCCTCCTCTTCACCCTCTATATGCTCCCCCTCGGTGACATCATCCGCAGACATGGAGTTAACTTCCACATGTATGCGGATGACACCCAACTCTACCTTTCCTCCTCTACTCTCAACTCCACGACCACCGATGTCCTGACAGCCTGCCTGTCCGACATCGAGTCCTGGACGAGAGACAACTTTCTTCAGCTCAACGTGCGAAAAACCGAGGCCCTCCTGATTGGCTCACGTCAGCGCCTCCGCACCTCAGGCGCTGACACCATCAGCATCCAAGGCTGCACTCTCCACCTCTCAAAGCCAGTCAGGAACCTCGGCGTTTTGTTCGACCCTGAGCTGTCCTTTCTCCCTCACATCCGCACTACAACTGGCACCGCCTTCCATCACCTTCGGAACATCGCCAGACTACGGCACTACCTCACCCCTCACGCTGCTGAAACCCTGGTCCACGCCTTTGTCACCTCAAGGCTGGACTATGGGAACTCTCTCCTCGCCGGCCTTCCCGCCACCTCCCTCCACAAGCTGCAGGTCATTCAGAACTCTGCAGCTCGTGTACTGTCCCGCACCAGGCTTCGCGACCACATCACTCCCACCCTCGCTCGCCTCCACTGGCTCCCCATCCCCCAGAGGATTGATTTCAAGATCCTCATCCTCACCTACAAGGCCATTCACGGCCTTGCTCCCTCCTACCTCTCCAACCTACTATCCCCCTACCTACCTGCCCGTACCCTCCGTTCCTCTGGCTCTGGTCTGCTCCACGTCCCCCGCCCCAACCGCCCTACCATCGGTGGTCGGGCCTTCAGCCTCTCAGCCCCCAGGCTCTGGAACTCCATCCCCCAGTGCCTTCGCCGCTTCCTCCCTTTCCTCCTTCAAGGCCGGTCTCAAAACCTTTCTCTTTGACCGAGCCTTCAGCTCCCCTCTCGACTCTCTTCCCCCTCCTCGCTCCCTCCCTTCCCTCCCCTCACCCTGACCATTTCCCCTCCTTGCTCCCTCCCTTCCCTCACCCTGACCATTTCCCCCCTCCTCGCTCCCTCCCTTCCCTCCCCTCACCCTGACCATTTCCCCCCTGCTCGGGTCATGACCCAACTGTGCAGCGCCTTGGGACGTCCTCCTGACGTGAAAGGCGCTTTATAAATGGAATCTTGTTGTTGTTGTTGTTGTAATCACATCATATAGGAGTCAGCCTGGCTCAGTTGATAGCACCCTTACCTGTGGGTCCAAAGGTTGTGGGTTCAAACCCATTTTGGGACTTTTGGCTCATAATCTCGAATCTGTGCAAATTGGTTGCAGATTTTGCCTATCAATAAACAATCACTACAATTTAAAAAAATATTATAAAGAGCTTTGAGACATTATGGGTGCTAAATCAAATGCAAATGTATCAAAGCAAAGCTCATTTATATTGCCAGAATTGAAGACGGCAGAACCACAACAAAGGTCTACATCCAATAATCCAGTTAATTTTTACCAATAACCAGTTGGGCTTCTAACATAGCAATTTTGGGTATTCAAGAAAACTATTGTAGCCCAAAACTTATAATCCAATTTTATCCTCTAAATCTCCCTATTTTTGTATTTTGCATTTAAACTCTCAGGGATTAGGTAAGTGTGATGCATCCCTTCACATGGAGAGACTGCATGCTCCATACCAGCCACGCAGAAATGTCCATTCGTGAATGGGATTCCCAATAGATTTGCTGATTGGCTTGTGTCAGGCACCGAGCCGACCTAAAGAAAAACAGGACAAAGATCCAGAAGTGATCAGTGTTATAAGCTTACCTCTTGCTGGCCATTTACAGAAATGGTGGAGACACCCTGGCAGTTACTCTCTTGCTGTTCCAGTTGAAGGAGCCTGCAGTGCAGCCAGGACGTTTTGGGAAACTAAGAAAATTGAAGTCGAACAAATTCATGTGTGATTCAACAAAAGTAAAAATTAATTCAGTTTCATTGTTATTCACTTACTAAAGTTTGTAATCGGGTCCCCCAACCCTCATCTGGCTTCACTGGCTCTCCATTCCCCAGTGGATCACGTTCAAGATTCTTGTCCTCACCTTTGAAGCCTTCCATGGTCTTGCTCCACCCTATCTCTGTGGCCTATTAAAACTTCACCAAAATGTTCGCTACCACTGCTCTGCAGGCAATGGCCTCTTCAAGTCCCCCATCCTGCCTGCTCCAGTATTGGCAGTCAGGCCTTCAATCTTTCTACTCCCACCCTCTGCAACTCCATCCCAGAATTTCTCCTCGGCTGGCCTCCTCCCTTGACTCCTCCTCCTCCTCATCATCATTATCTTCCTTTTCGACACAGTCATCTTCCCTCCTCCACTCCCTCTTGCCCTCCACTTCTCTGATCCTATCCCTTAACTTGGATTCAAACCTCTCATTGTCCAACATCTTGGGACATCCTACCGATGTTAAAGGTGCTATAGAAATGCAAGTCGTTGTAGTTGTTGTTATTTGCCTCTCTTCCAGGTCACCATCACATGGGACAGAGAGAGCACTTCTCTCCAGATGGATGTTTTAGATCTAGATTTACTTCGGTCAGATGTTGACTCACAAGTCATGAAACTATCAGAATGGATTGAAATGACTGCTGGAGAATTTCTGTTTGGAGCATTGGAAAAAAATGCAAACTCAAGGTACAATTGTCCTGCATATATGATTCTAAATGGTATTGAGAAAGTCAGCACATAATAATATTTTCGGATACGTCAGGTCAACAAAACAAGAGGGTACAGTTTCAGAGTTGTGAAGGGTAGTTTCAGAACACCAGGATGTACAATATTTCTTTATAGATAGGGTAATTAACAACTGAGTGGTCAAAGCCTGGATGTTGGACTCAAATGAAAATCGACAGTTGATGTTGTAATTGCAGGGAGGTTAGGGAAGATATTGTGGAGAATTGATATCACAATGAAAAATGAAACAAGTTTCTTCTGGGGTCCCAGCCATCAGTCCTCCAGATAAACCTGGCCATTCAATTCTTGGCTGTCTGTGGGTCATCGCTATGTGCAAATTGGCTGCCATGTTCATTCCTGTGTAAAACATTGGACTTTTGAATCATCAAATCACCACTGGCCTGTTGATCTAGACCGAATGCACTCTGGGACACTAACCTGCATGAGGGACGCTATATAAATGCAAGTTGTTGCTGTTGAAGGATTCCATTCCTTTTGTGGTGCCCTGAAGATCAAATCCCACTGATCTGAGAAGTTACCTTGTGGGCACAAGCCAACAATTGGGAAATTCCATTATAAGCACTATTTTTTAATGCACGATGAGGTGGCTATAAAGCACACCCCAGGTGAAGTTCAGTGCAATACTCCTTTATAACCAGTCAGAAAAGTAGAACTGTGATTTATGTGAGAGCATTTCCCTCTCCCTCAACAAAAATACCATTCTTCTCAAGACTTCTCAATATTCTGACCAGGGCTCCTTGCCGTAACTGAATCTCCTCAAGTCTTATTTGATGGAACTCAGCTCTGAAAATAGGTCTAGGTTGGGTGTATGACATACACTTGGTAATTGCCTTTGTCTCAGTGCTCACTTAGTTTTCAATTTGATTTATTCAGTGATCTAAGTGATTATGCATCTAGTATATCAATTCCTCTGTCCTGGGGAGTTGTACATCCACTTTCCACAGTATTCTATTGACTAAATGCCTGATTTCTCTGACAGCTTTGGCAAACTGTGCTGGAGAGTATGTGCTGAAGCCATGCATTCCTTTAGTGCCCTGGTGATTAAATTCCACCGATCAGAAAAGTTACAGACCTTGCTGGCATCAGGAAATTCCATTATAAGTCCACACTTCCAAAATCTGTAGCTTTACCAACCAGCTGAATATTTCTTCCACAAGATACATTTTTAGCTGTGTAAGATTCCCCTTAGAGAGACTGTTATTTTCCTACAGTTTCTCCCTGGAGTGGTTTGTCTCTACTAATTTTTTGACATTCTCTTCTCCCTCCCCACCCCCATGAACACCCACAAACACACAGAGTATCAATTAAATCAGAAAGCTCAGAAGGCAGTTTGCATCTGTCTTCTCTCTCTTGTGCATTGGCACCACCCAGTGGCACTTTGTTCACTGAGCAACAAAAAAAATTATTTTAAAGAGATAATGAGGTTGAGGCAGCCGAGATTCCTCCTCTCTGTAAAAATCTGGGCATGAATAGGTTGGTCCAGTGGGAGTTGGAATTTGGCTTCATGGGTAATAATAATAAATAATAATCCTTGCATTTGATATAGCACTTTTCACATCGGGAGGACGTCCCAAAGCGCTTCACAGAACACTCTGTAAAGTGAATTGACTGTGTATTTGTGGGCGAACGCGGCAGCCAATTGCGCACAGCAATGTCCCACAAACAGTCGTGGATTGAAAATGACCAATTTATTATTGTTTTGGGTTTTGGAGGGATTATTATTAGGCGTGTGGAATAAGGAAACTTGCCCAAGGTTTCGCCCTGTGCCTGGAATTGAACTCAGGTCTCTCGCTTGCAAAGTGAGTGCTCTAACCTACAGGAGCTACAGGACAGGGTATAGACAAGGGGACCTCCAGGCCCAGAACATTGATCAACAACTTGCTTTTATATAATGTCCTTCACTTGGAGTGTGATCTAAAAGAGGGGAAGGAGGGGGAAAGGTGGACGAATTGGGGGAGAGAGCGATCAAAACTGTGCTTGTGCCATGCAGGTGGATTAGGGAGACTTCTGGCAAGCTGTTGCAACAATAAGAACCAGGGTGATGGCAGGAATATCAATGAGCAGCATCTCACTTAAAATGTGTCCTTTCAAAGCTAGATACAGGTGTGCTCTCAGGGTTCATGTCTTATTCAATTTACACTTCATTAATAACATTAATAACGATTTTGCATTTCATATAGCACCTAATCACATCATCAAAATATCTCAAAATGCTTCCCAGGAATTACAGTAACTGCATATCTTGGGGCAAAAACAACAGCCAATTTGCACACAGCAGTGTCACATAATGAAATGAATAACCAATTTTATCTGGGGATTTGTTGATCAGGACACCAGGAGAAACTCCCTTCTTTTTCAAATATGGTCGTGAAATCTTTAGCATCCACCTGCATAAGCAGTTCCATGTCTCATCCAAAGGATGGCACCTCTGATAATGCAGCACAACCTCACCAATGAGTTAAAGTGTCAACCTAGTCCCTAGTCCCGATTTGAGGTACAACCTCAGAGAGAGCTGGGAAAACTCAGCATCTCCGGAGAAAGGAAAATGAGTCAATGTTTCGGGTCCACGACCCTTCGTCAGAACTGGGGCATGTTGGGAGGGAGAGGTTTTTAAGAACAAATTGAGAGGGGGAGGCAGGACAAGATGACAAAGAATACTATTAACACCTCTTCTCCCCAGTTTTGTTTTAACCCACCACACCCCCCTTATATTTTACTCCACTATCACCTCTTTAACCCATCAACTAACACATTCTCTACATTCTCTCCTTTGTCTTCTTTTTGTCTTCTTTGAGCTACAGAATTTATGTGAACTGTATCTTACTAAAAACCTGAAGCAATGAAAAGACGTATTTGCATAAAATGAAAATTTTAGTTAAGGCAAGTTGATGAAAAATGGGCTATCTGAGGTGAATGACAGGCAGTGAGGAATAGTATCAAGGATGAAATCATGTTAAAATTAATGGGAAGTACACAAATAGATATTTACATTTGAAGGTAATTCTTAATCAATGTTTCTTGTTGCATTTTATGATTACAGACTGTCTGAGAAGAGACATTTGTATGTAGAATTCTTCCCCACCCCCCATCTCACTGCTTTGATGTCATGAAGTCCTACCCACTGACATGAATAGGGAAGTTTTAACAGCAAAACATTTTTCCTATTCTCACTGTCACTGAGTAGTGCTTTGTAATAAGTCATGGACTCAGCCTTGCTTGTCTTGGTGATCCTGCTTATTTTTACACACACTCTATTGAATTTAGCAGCACATCACGCAATTTCAGGTGAAAATTTTGGCAATCAGCTTTGTAATATACAAAAAATATGCGGGTGAAGAAACTGGGGTTAATTTCCATCCGTTTTTTATCAGGGACTCCTTCCTGATTGTCTGCACTGGTTACAGTTAATTGTCTTTTTATAGTTTGTCCATTAGATGAATATTTGCAAATGCTGCTAACTCAACCCCATAATAGATGTAATTAGTTTTCTTGGAAGGAGTGGTCTTAATTGTTCCATCTGAAGAAGGAGCAGGATGTGATTCACTGCCAATACAACCACTAGTTTCATTAAATCTAAAGGAAGTTTGTTACCCGCAGGCTTGGGTGGTTTTCAGGCTGTGTGTCTACATTCCTGCACAGCAATGGGAGTAAGCTGAGGAAAAGGGAGTTATCAGAAAGCACGGACTACAGGAATGTCTCGCCTGACACCTGCCCCCAAACGGTAAGGAACCTCAGTAAATACCCACACTTGCTCAATAGTCACATACAAGCCAACCTTATAATGTACCCCAGTTTAGCATAAGTCCGCTTATAGCATGGGCTGTGTACTATGGACCATTGCTATACCAGAATCTTTCTACACTTCAAAGTTATGATTGAATTCAAGAATTTGTCAAATTCTGCATGTTGTAAAATGCTAGGAAAATATAGTAAACCTAGACGTAGGTGGAATTCCTCCCACATACCCAGGATAACCACGTTTTTAGGCACCTTGCTAGAGTGAGGATTTACCTTAACGAGTCTCCTGTATATCGTAATACAGTTCCACTTTTCGGCATTCCTAAGTGCTTAATAATAATTTGATCCTTGCATTTAATACAGCACCTCATCACATCAAAACATCTCAAAGAACTGTTTCTATAACATAGTGACTGTGTATTTGTAGACAAAAGCAGCAGTTAATTTATACATGGCAATGTCCTACAAACATCCATGAATTGAATGACCATTTATTTTTAAATCTACGGTATTATTCGATCCCTTATCCACAGGTTTGTGACCTCGGACCTTGAATTTTTCCATTGTTCTCCTCGCTGGTCTTCTAACTCCTAAAATCTAGTTAATTCAAAACTCTGCCACCTGTATCCTCACCAAAATCCACTCCCCATCACCCCAGATCAATTTCAAGGTCCTCCCACTTGGATACAACTCACTTCATGCCCAAGCACCTCCCAATCTCTCCAATTTGCTTACACACCATTCTTCTTCGCTCAACTGGCTCCAGAAATCTGCACATCCTTCATCCCCTCTGCTTCACCATCAGCAGCCATTCTTTCAGCTACTACGCCACAAAACTATAGAATTCTCTACCTCAATCCCTCCACCTCGCCTCTTACTTGCCCATCTTCAGATCGCACCTGAAGACCTTCCTCTTCGACCTTGACTAAGGTCCCCTTCCCACCTCCCCCATCTCAGTGTCAAGCTCTACCACTGTTAAGGGGGCCGAGATGCTATTCTACGTGAAGCATCTATTAAAGCAAGTTGTTGTTGTTAGTGAGAAGACCAGGAGAAACTCCCTCTTCTTTTCAAATAGGGCCAATGGAATCTTTAACATCTACCTAAACAGATGGGACCCTGGTTTTCCATTTCATTTGAAAGGCAGTATATCTAACAATGCAGCATTTCGCCAGAACTGCACTGGAATGTTAATCTACAATCTTAAATTCCTAACATGTGACTTGTACCTATAACCTCCTGACTCAATGACAAGAGAGCTACCAACTGAGCCAAACCTCATACATGTATTCTTATGGCTTGAGTCCTCCAAGCGCTCTGGGACGCTAAGATGAATGAGGGGTGCTATATAATGCAAGTTGTTGTTGTTGTTGAGAAGGCAATCTCAGAAAAACATTGGCGAATAACACGCAAGTTTCCTTATTCCACTTGCCTTAGTTTACCTAGTAGTAAGTAAGAATCCGATTGGCTGATTGCTTTCCGGGGGTAATAATCCCTTAAACAAAAAACTATTATTTAATAATTTGGTCACTCAATCCACGACTATTTCTGGGACACTGCTGTATGCAATCGGCTTCCACATTTTGCTCAGAAAATATACAGTGGGATTGAAAACTAGTCAAATTCAGCATTTATAGAAAGTGGCCCTAAAGAGAGTAGAGTTGAAAAGTGTTCAGAGAAAGATACCATGGGACATAAAGAGCCATTGCATTTTTAAAGATAAATGCAACAGTCATTTCTTGCAATGTCCCATCAAACAGTTACGATGTAAACTGTTAACATTTTCACCCACAAAATATACAATTAATTCACTTCACAGCATATTCTGTGAAGCCCTTTGAGATGTCTCAATGACGTGATAAGGCACTATGTCAAATGCAAGGATTAGTATTATTTAAACACAGTTAAACAGCAAGGAATATAAAAAACCTCAAAACTATTTTCCAGCACTTTTTGAGGCAGACATAGCAGACGTTGTAGATCAATTGGGAAACCATTTCAGCCTATGTTCAGCATTTTTTGAGTGAATGTCATGTTTTTTTGTTCAGCATTTATAGTTATATTGGAGGAATTTACAGATTGTTTGAAAACATCTTATAAGGTTTGCAAAGTCTTACAGAATCGTACAGAACATTACAGCATGGGAACAGGCTATTCATCCGAACTAGTCCATGCTGGACATATAGTCCACATTAGCCTCCTACTTGGATCTAATGGAGAATTTATCAGGAACTACTTCACGTAGAGAGTACTGAGATTGTGGAACTCATTATCTGAACAGTTTATATAAGCTGCATCGTTATGTTTTGAGACGAAATTGCTCCTGTCATTTCCCACTCCAAATTTGACCTTCCCTCTCCTGACTGCCCTTGCTAATGCTGATGCTCAGGTCAACAAACATGGAGATCCTTTCATGCTCTTCATGTGTGAGCTCAGACAGTAAGTATCATTAAGCAATTGGACTGTGGGGCATCATGGCTCAGGCCTGTCCTATCCTCATTCAACATCTACAATGTGAATACACTATATGGATTCACATGAATACAAGGATATATACGAATTCAAGGATTCAAATGTAAAGATTATTATTATTACTTTCTAGCAGATTGAATCAAAAGCAGGAACCATGAAAAACTCCCCCCAGTCCAGAAAGCAGTGGGATCAATTGTAGCCGCTAATTGTTATTCTTTCCTGAGGTATTTCATAATAAACCTTGCATTTGATTTAGCATTGTATTATGTCTCCAAAATGTTTCAAAGAACTTTACAGAAATGTTGAGCAAAATGTAGTGACTTTGTTTCAGCAGTGTTCACACAATCAGTCATGAAGTGAAGACTCAATTTAATCTGGGGGAATGTTGGCTAAAACACCGGGAGAATCTCCTGTCAGTTTTTGAACAGTGTGATAGAAACTTTAAAGTTCACCTAAAGAGGTGGATAGGATCTCAAATTAACATCTTATTCAAAGGACGGCACCACCAACAAGGCAGTACACCCCAACATTGCACTGGAATGTCAGCCTAGACTGTGAGTTCAAAGTCTCAATCTGGAGCTTTAACCCACAACCTTCTGACTAAGAGACGAGCATTGAGAAAGCCAGGCTGTCACCAGTAAGTGAATTGAGATCTGGTAAACACAATTAAGTGTATTAGGTAAATACAGTACACCTGAAATTCCAGGTCTTAGCTTGTAATACAATTTTGTACAGCACTTATACAGCACTTGTGCATGCACAAAAGTCTCTTCACATTATATAAAAAGTAAACAATGCTAAATTGTATTAAGTCTTGTTATTGTGTGTCATATTTGGCAAAAAAAGGTAAAAAAATATATCTCGAAATATTCTTAATATGATTGTCCCAAACATTCATGCTTTGCATTCCTGGCCACAGCTTTCAGACTGTGAGCAGACAGGAAAGGAGGTGCTGGTCATTTATCAGGTGGATTAGAAGTGGCAAGTCATCCTTATTTGTCTCCTGCTAAAAATTATCTGTCAAATAACAATTGCAATCCATCAGCTACAAGTGCACAAATTAATCCAATTTTAATTTGTTTTCAGTAAACAGTGAATTGCATCAAGTGAACAAGAGAAACAATATTAAGTAACTTGTGATTTCCCTTCTATTTTATTTTTCTGAAGCTTCAGTGAAACTTATGTACTGTCTGGAAAGGCAAACATAAACCACACATAAATCACAAATGGGTAGTATTCATCAAACAGGTAGTGCAGTCATTGGGAGAGGTGGGATAATCACAAAGGATATACAGACCACTAACCTTTATGCATTATATTTTATTGCTGATCAGTGCAATCCATGTAGAATCATAGTAGTATTTAAGATCCAGACTGTCTGCACCTAGAGTATGTGTTTTGCTCTTTGATTTGCATTGAAAGTACGTAGAACCGGTTAATAAAGCCTTACAACACAAAGCTACTCTTCAATCACAACAAATTTGGGAATCTGGAATGACAAGTTGACTTGTGAGAAATGAAAAATCCCATGATGTTGCAGTCAGAAGTTCTTCAGAGATTGAGGTCTATGCATATTGTTAGGCAGAATTTAAGAAGTTTTACTCTATATCAACCACTCTGTATATCAAGACCAGACAAGAGTACAAATGAAGAGTATAAATGAAGAGTACATGCGGGCCATTTGATCTCCTCTTGCCAAAATAACCATTCTATCCTCTTCCCATTTTAACATGAAGCCATTTTTTTAATAACTTGTGTTAAATCTCTTAACCTGACCTCTGCATCCCTCTCAGTAACACTTTCCAGCTGTTAACTATTAACTGGAAAGGGTTAACTTAACCCTCCAATATAAATGACCTGAATCCGCCTGATAATACTGTAATAATAATCCTTGTGTTTGATACTGCGCATTATCATATTGATGAGATGTCTCAAAGAGCTTCACAGGACATACAATAAAGTGATGTGACTGTGTATATTTTGTGGGTGAACACAGCAGCTAATTTAAGCGCAACAAGTTCCACAAACAGCCTGAAGTGAAATAAAACGAGACAGCCAATTGCACACAGAAGTGTCCCACAAACAGTCGTGGATTGATTGATTGGTTGGTTGGTTGGTTGATCGATCGATCGATCGATCGATCGATTGATTGATTGATTGATTGATTGATGAAGGAATTCTTTATGGCACAGCAGAAAGAAATTCAATCTCTTGTGTCTGTGGAAGCTCCATCAAGGGCAGTCTTACTGACCTGTCCTTTCACATCCCCTATAGCTGATGCTTTTTATTCCCTCTTGAAAGCCAATATGGATTTTGCTTCGGCCACCTCTCCCCGGCAAGGCATTCCATATCCTAACTACTGTATGTGTGAAAAGCTTTCTCCTAACCTCCCCATTTGCTCGTTTATTAACTTAGGTTAAATTGATGCTGATTCACTGACCGGTGGAAATAATTTTTCCTTATTGACTATCAAAACCTCTCATAATTTTAAAGACCTTTATCAGGTCATCCTGCAACATTCTTTGTTTCAGTGAAAAAAAGCCCAAGTTCCTCCAGTCATTTGAAAGCTTGTTAAGACTTTCATCAGAAGTGGCTGATTTGCCTCTCCCAAAATTGAAGCTTTCACGTCAATTATAGCAGCCGGAGATCAATATGCCTAAACTTGGCTAACTCAGCAGACCAGAAACAGAAACTGGAGCATCCCTGAAGGTGCGGCTCACCAACTCATTCATTCTTTAATAAAAATGTTGTATTGAAAATATTTTAAAAATCTTACATTTGGTAGAGCGTCTTTCACGTCAAGAGGATATCTCAAAGAGCTTCACCGGATTTACTGTAAAGTATGTATTTTGTAGATGAATGCAGCAATATCCCACAAACAGTCATGAAGTGAATGAACAATTTAACTTGGGGGAATTATTAGCCACGATACCAGAGAAACTCCCCTCTCTTCACGAATTGTCCCAATGGCTCCTTAATGTCCAACAGAAAAGGCGGACAAGTCCTTAGTTCAACATCTCGTCAAAGGACAGCTCCTCTAAAATGCAGCACACACCCAGCAAATGCATTGAAGTGTCAGCATAGACAATGAGCTCAAAATCCTCATGTGGGGTTTGAATCCACAACATTCTGACTCAAGGGCAAGCGTGCTACCAACTGAGCCAGGATAACACCATATAACTTCAGTATGAATATTTCTTAACTCAGGTGGAAGAAGGGATTCACTTTTATGCTGTAGACTCCTACATTCAACTGAACATAACTCAGCCTCAGAACATCATAGAAACGTTCGGACTGACCTTCAAGACTAAGGAAGAGTCTGGACTGCTTTTTATCACTAGGGAAAGACCGGTAAGAAAACATATAATTATTTTTATCTGGATGTACGTTTACACTTTAATATGTAAATATATTTGCCTGTCAATATTAATTCAATCATTTTGATTTCCAAACTCTTATTTTCTCCAATTTTCTTCTACACTGCCTGTGGAAGCTGCAGTTGAAGTAGAAAACATCAATGAATTTAAGAGGAAACGCAGATACTTACATAAGAGAGAAGGGAATAAATAGATCAACATCAACAAATTTTACAGTTAAATCCACCTTTCATGTCAGAAGCATGTCCCGAGGTGCTGGGCAGTTGAGGGTTTGCATCCGAGCTGGGGGTTGAATTCCAGGGGGACTGGGAGGGTGCAGGGGATTGGAGGTGGGTGGTGGTGTGCTAAGGAGGATAGGGATGTTAGGGGAAAGATGACCGAATGTGTGGTCAACGAAGAATGTCTTGGAAGGGTATGAAGGGAGGTTGGGGGAGGAAGAAAGTTAGATTAAGTGGAGGCTCATGTGACATGCAAACACTGGCATAAATCATAAATGAGTTGGCCAAATGGCCTGTTTCAATTCTGTAGATTCTATGAATTAATCTTTTATATATAATTACTCCAATGGAGGCAATGTGGATGCTGGGTATGATTCCATGGATCCTGGCAATTTACCATCATTATCATTATTAATGCTGTTATGATTAATGTTCCTCCAACTTTTCCTTCCAGGCTCCAAATACACCATCTCAGATCCTTCTCCCCATACTCTCATATTAAGTACTCCCTATAATATTTCATTTTGAAATTCAGATTTTGTATCATGGATTCACATTTAATACAATTAATTCTGTTCATGGGTGCTCTATTTTCCACTCCATTGACTCCCCACTCCCCGAATCTTGCTTTGGCCTGATCTGTTTTCGTTTTCAAATCCCTTCATACCCTGGCACCTCCCTACCTCTCCGACCTGATTAGCCCCAATCCACAACCCGATGCTTCTGCACGACTGGCTCCGGCATTCTGTATGTCCCCGTGCCCTCCGTTCAACCAGTGGTGACCACACTTTCAGCCACTACACCCCGAAACTTTGGAACACCCATCCTCTGTCTCTCTACCTTGTCCCTTCCTTCCCCATCTTCAGGTCACACCTGAAGACTTTCCTATTCAACTGTGCCTATGTCACCACCCCCTCCTCCCAGCTCAGTGTCGTGCTCCGCTACTGTCAAGTGCTCTGGGACACTACCCTGCGTGAGGGGCGCTATATTGTTGCAAGTTGTTGTTCATTCATACAGTAACTTCTACACTGTTTTTTTTCTAGGAAGGACTTCTTTACCTAGCCCTATTTGGTGGCAACATCTTTGCAATTTATGCCACTGAAGATGACCCTGGCCAGCTGATATACCTGTACACTGTAAACGAAAGCCTCTCTGATGCACAGTGGCACACCATATTGCTGAATTTCACAGGAAAATTGTGAGTACACTCAGGTTGACAGAACAGTAGATCGAAGTGAAGTGATTGTAACTTTTGGTCAATGACTCTAGAGCACCAAAATAGTTTCTTCACTAGATTATCAGTTTGAAATTCTTAAATGTAATTTTTTGTTTAAAAATGATTTTTTGGAGGATTTTGTTGGGATAATACCAAAGATTATGTGATTCAGAAATAAAATCTATGAAATGGATGAGTGAGTTCCCAACGGGTAATTGTCTTGTTTAGTGTGATACTGAGCAGTTATGGTAGGCAGTGCTCTTTTAAGTTTAGAGTAATAGTTTGTTAATTGGAGGAAAGCAGAAGATTTACACTATATCTAGCTGTGCTGCATAAATTGCTTGAATGTGGAATGTTTTATTTCTCATACTGGCTGCCCAAAGTGGAAAAATGTTCCTTTTTCCCAGCAATAGCAACACTCAACTTGATGAATGTCAAAATGTACAATACACAATGCAATATGCTTTACATTCATGTAGCACCTTTATGTCAGGTAGACATTGCAAAGCACTTCACAGTGCTGGATGAGTACCCGAGCTGATGATGGGAGTCAAGGTCGTAGATAGAGGAAAGATGACCAAAAACTTGGTCAAAGAGCTGTGTCTTGAGACAACAACAACAAATTAAATTTGTATTGCGCCTTTCACATCAGGAGGATGTCCAAGGCGCTGGACAGTCAGAGATCTGCAACCAAGCTGGTGGTTGGCTTCAGGAGGGGTGGAGGGCAGGAAGGGTAGGGGTAGAAGGGTGACCGAAAGCACGGTCAAAGAGGAGGGTCTTGAGACAGGTCTTGAAAGAGGCAAGTGAGGGGGCAAGGTGGAGGGACTGTGGGATGGCGTTCCAGAGGGTGGGGCAGAGAGGCTGATGGTCTGCCCACAAATGGTGGGGCGCGCAAGGTGGGTGATGTGAAGCAGGCCAGAGCCTGCTGAGCAGAGAGAACAGACAGGTTGGTAGGGGTTTAGGAGGTCAGAGAGATAGGGAGGAGTGAGGCCGTGAAGAGCTTTGAAGGTGAGAACCAGGATCTTTAACTGTATCCTCTGTATGATGGGAAGCCAGTGGAGTTGGGTGAAGATGGGGTTGATAGGTCACAGAGCCTGGTGCGGGAGAGGACACGGGTTGCAGAGTTCTGGATGATCTGCAGTCTGAGGAGGGAGTTGGGATGCTGACAAGCAGGGAGTTTCCGTAGTCGAGCCTGGATGTTATGAACATGCAGATGAGGGTCTCGGTGGCCTGCGGTGTGAGACAGTGGGGTAGCCGGGCGATGTTTCAGAGGTGGGGAAAGGTGAAGCGGGTCATGGCACGGATGTGGGGGAATGAAGGATAGTTGAGGGTTGAACAGACACCAAGGTTCCATATTGGCTCAGCGAGGTGTAGAGTGCATCCATGTAGGGTAATGCTGTGATTGGAGCCAACAGGAGGGCCTCAGCTCAACTATGCCAATTCTCTCCTTGTCAGGCTTCCCAACTCTTCCCTCCACAGGCTGCAGATTGTCCAGAATTCTGAGGCTCGTGTCCTCTCCCATACCAGGCTCCGGGACCCCATCACTCCCACCCTCGCCCGGCTCCAATGACTCCCCATCCCCAGAGGATAGCATTCAAACCCTTGTCCTCACTTTCATGGCCCTCCATGGCCTTGCTCCTTCCTACCTCTGTGACCTGCTGAGCCAATATCAACCTGTCCACTCCCTCCGCTCAGCAGGTTGTGGCCTGCTCCACGTCTCCCACCCGGCACGCCTCACCATCAGCGGTCAGGCCTTTAGCCTTTCTGCCCCCACCCTTTCGAACTCCATCCCACAGTCCCTTCGCCTAACCCCCTCCCTTGCTCATCTCAAAACCCTCCTCTTCAACCGAGCCTTCAGGCACCCTCCTACCCTCCATGCCTTCCACCCTCCATGATCCCGACCCCCAGCTCATGTCGAAATCCCTGACTGTGTAATTTTGTATTGTATTGTTGACATTCAACTGGAGAAAGGTAGCCATCATCCAGGATTTGATGTCCGACAGGCAGTCTGTGAGGACAACAGTGGTCTGGAGTTGAGGGTGGAGACGGATAAGTAGAGGTAGAGATGTGTCTTAAATGAGGGGATGGGATAAATCAGAGGGACTCCAAGATTGAGTTCCAGAGAGCGGGGTCAGAATGGCTAAAAGTCCACCAGTTAATGGTGGGACAGGCAGGTGTTGACAGCACAAATTAAAGAAAATTCTACTGTTCCAAATTATGTAGCATCCCTGTCAAGACTGTTGAGAGATCCAATGGTACTCAGTGCTTCTTTAGATATCCACCACTGTTCCCTGTCAGATATCTAGTTCAGTGACCGTTGTGTCGTTTTTGTTGACAATATTGAACACAATAAATGTACAAAAGGTGGAATAGAGAATAAGAAAAAACGCAAGTATAGTTACCTGCAGTGACTTAACAACGGATGCTCCTGTTAAAATCCAGACAAAATGCCGCGCTGTTCACTGCTGAATGTACTCACTCGTGCGTTCTGTGCTCGAGAGGCTTCAGAATAGAGTTGGGAGGAGTCAAATTGTGACTGACTGACAGCAGACTCCAGCCATTCACAAGTGATTGATTGACAGCTAAGCTGTTTGTGAATGGGTGGAGTGCCCATCGATTCACAAATGGTTGAAGGCTGTCAATCACCTTGTAGCCACCACTAATTGGACCCCTTCCCATCCAATGGCAATGGCAATGGTAATCCGGTTAACATTGGACGCCGCTTAAGATGGACAAAACGTCCGCCCCAATGTTTCTGATTATCTGGCATCCAGTGTATATTACAGTTTCTAACTGGATTTCAGTAATGGCTCAGCCAGACTAACAACGTTGCCACATTACACCTGAATGGATGTTACTTTTCTTAGTATGTTTAAACTTCCTAAAATCACTACTTTCTGCAGGAGGTGGAAATTTTGTTCACCACATATTATGTCAATCCATTTCTGAATTGTCTTACTATCTTACATTCCCAGCTGCACCATTGATTATAGAAACTATTCTTGTCTTGTATTGCCATATGTGTCTGCATTGAATTTATAGATCGATATATTTGCTGATCTTCTCTAGTTCCTTTTTCATAAGTTGTAATCACTTAAGATAGCCACATCAATAATAGTACATTTACAATCTAGTTGATTTATTATGATATTATCTGCTTTGTTACAGACTATTGTTCTATCTGTATATACTATACCAGATTATTGTGGTGTTATTTTTTGATGTCACTTTTGCTAGTTAATGTTCATACCAGTCAATAAATTGTCCAGTGAAATATTTAGCTACATTATTATGTTAATAATAATAATCCTTGCATTTGATGTAGCGCTGTATCATGTCTTCAAGATGTCTCAAAACGGTTCACAGAATATACTGTGACGTGAATTGACTGTATATTATGTTAAATCAGAAACTGATTGTGCTAGCGCTGAACATGATGACAATATGTGATCCACAGTTTCTGGTGCTTCATGGTATATTCAACATTTTGGATCAATGTTTCTCTTTAAGATCTTATTTTCATAATAATGGATAGTAATAGCTTAATCTTGTTCTTTCATTTCTCTTGAAAATTGGCCATGCATGATTTTCTTCTCCCATTTGTTTTTTTCAACCAGATATTATTTTCTTTTTAAAGACAATTTTCATTTTTTTGGGTTCAGATGAGCTACTTTCTGTTTCTTTTTGATGGATGTCATATTCTTGTTTGTTCTAGATTACAGAAAATTTATTTTTCTGGTTTCCATGTTTTTCTATCATTTTATACTGTCATCGGGATTTGTTCTGATGTATTCAGCTAAACCTACAATTGCTGATTTGTAAGATGCTTCAAATTCAATCGGTCTTGCTCCTCATTCTTTGTTTGGTATTTAAATACTTGGAACATCAGCATTTATATCGTGTAGGCCATGAATGGTCAACAGTTTTTGCATTTTTCTATTGATATTTTTGTAGATGTTTGATCATCCAATTTTATTATCGTTATTGGAAAAATTGTCAACCTTGGTTGTATGATCTTATAACAGGATAACCACAATTTGCAATAGTATAATGACAATACTATCAATACTTGCATTTGATAGAGACCTTAGGGCCTATAACGTCGACATGTCTCAAAATGCATCACCAGGAATTACTGTCAATTGCTTTTTCGAGGCAAACACAACAGACATTTATTCCTGTATAGCTTTTCCTTATTATTTGTTCCCTCCATGATCCTCCCCGTCTAGGGTGGACAGGGTGGGCAGGACATGCACATGTGTGTCTAAGGGCAAGTAGCCTGCGACTACATTAGCTTGCCAGAAACTCATGCAGATGAGTTCCTGCATATTGCAGTAGGCAGCGTCTAATGATGTTTCATCAAGCCAATAGAAGCGCATGTGTTGATGCCTTGGACATATGTCAATTTTTAAATTAGAAAATGAAAAGAAGATTGCAGATTGTGGTTTGAAGTTAAGTACGTTTACACAGAGAAAAATAGCAACATCTCAATTTCTAAGTATTCCAAGACACCGTCCAGCATGAAGGGTACTATATAAATACAAGATGTTGTTGTTGTATTGAAGGATTTATTGTACTTCCGATTGCAATAATTTCTTTGCCTGCTATTCCAGAGGAAGCTGAGCGAATTGATGTATGGTGGGACTGCTTGTGTTAAAACAAACTGCTGGAAAGGGTCCACATTGCTAGAAGTGTTAAATTAACCTAGATTACCTTTGGGCTTTTAGTTTTATGACATTTTAATTCTGTCTTTCAGTGCCATCTTGCAGGTCAATGATCATGCTACTGTGTCCAGCCGTAAAGAGTATGCTGTTCCGACCATTAGGCTGGCCCAGGAAGGACTCTTTGCCTTTGTTGGAGGTGGCAGTGCTGACATCATACGTGTGATTGGATCAGACCACCGATTCCCTGGCACTGAATCTTTCAAAGGTGATATCAGGGAAATCAAGATTAACTCAAAGTAAGTCCCATCTCAGACACTTAGGTCTGAAAAAACAAGAGATGCAGATGAGGATGATTACACTATCTGACAAACCTTAAAACACAAACATTATAGAGTCAAGCTATGCAATGACGATGGGTAAAATTTCACTTGGGACCATATTTTCACCTGTGGAGTCCTGTAGCTCAGTGGTTAGAGCACTCGCTTTGCAAGTGAGAGACTTGAGTTCAATTCCAGGCAGGGCGAAACCTTGGGCAAGTTTCCTTACTCCACACTCCTAATAATAATCCCTCCAAAAAAACAAAACAATAATAAATTGGTCATTTTCAATCCATGACTGTTTGTGGGACATTGCTTCGCGCAATTGGCTGCCGCGTTCGCTCACAAATATACAGTCAATTCACTTTACAATGTGTTCTATGAAGCGCTTTGGGATGTCCTCCCGACGTGAAAAGCGCTATATCAAATGCAAGGATTATTATTATTATTATATTTACTCTATTAAAGTCACATTTCAGAGTGCTCAGAATTTGCCAACTTGTTGAATTCATTTTTAAACTTTCAGAACGGTTCTTCAAAAGTTCTTAAAAGAACTTACAGAAAAACGGCTTCAAAATTAAAGACTGTATTTAAATACAGATTTGAGAAATTCTAGATGCTCTGAAGTGTTCTGATAATAAGTTAAATCTACACTAGGGTAGAATTTTACCCTATAGGTATGATAGGGCTCTACTGCAAGAAGAATAGGTCACCAAGAAGGATGGTTGAGCCCAGGACGTTGGTCTCTTTTGAGCTGGATACTGTAATGGGAGGATAGTAGGATGGGTGTTCTGGAAGGAAGTGATCAAATGAGTTGAAAGACTTTCTCCAACTACTGTCCCATCTCCAACCTCCCTTTCCTTTCCAAGGTCTTGGAAAAAGCCATTGCTTCCCAGCTTTGCTCTTTCTTCTCCCGCAACTCCCTTCACGAACCCCTTCAACCGGGTTTCCGTGCCGCCCACAGCACAGAAGCAGCTTTGGTCAAAGTGACAAACGACATTTTGTCCATCTGCGACCAGGGTTCCCTCTGCTTCCTTATCCTCCTTGACCTCTCTGCTGCCTTCAATACCTCATACACGCATTCATAACATTCAGGCTTGACTACAGAAACTCCCTGCTTGTCGGCCTCCCCAATGCTTCCCTCCATAAGCTGCAGATCAACCAGAACTTTGCAGTCCATGTCCACTCTCGAAACCAGGCTCTACGACCCTATCACCCCCATCCTCGCCCAACTCCACTGGCTTCCCATTACACAGAAGATACAGTTCAAGATCCTGGTCCTCACCTTCAAAGCCCTCCATGGTCTTGCTTCCCCCTACCACTGCAACCTCCTAAACCCCTACCAACCTGCCCCCTCCCTCCTCTCAGGGACTCCGGCCTGCCTCACCTCCCCTGGCTCGTCTGTCCCATCATTGGCGGGCGGACCATCTGCCACTCTACCCTCACCCTCTGGAACTCCATCCTGCAGACCCTCCGCATGCCTCCTCCCTTGCCTCCTTCAAGACCCATCTCAAGACCTTCCTCTTCAACCGTACCTTCAGTCACCCTCCTTCCCCCCTACCCTCTATCCTCCCAGCCCGGGTCCAAAACACTGAGTGGCCAGTGCCTTGGCATGTCCACCCGACATGAAAGGCGCTATACAAATGTAATTTTGTTGTTGTTTTTCATCTGAACCTCTCTTGTGATCTGTGGCTTTGGGTACAGTTATCCTCTCACAATGCTTAATATCTGAATTAGTTTCACCCACAAAATACACAGTCAATACACTTTACAGTATATCAAGTGAAGCTTGTTGACATGTCTCAATAACAACTTGCATTTATATAAAGACCTTCACGCCAGACGCCAAACACTTAACAATGGCAGAGCTTGATGCCGAGCCAGGGGGAGGGGAAAGGTGACTGTAGGCAAGGTCAAAGAGGAAGGTCATCAAGCACAACCTGAAAATAAGAAGAGAGGGGCCAAGATGAAGGGATTGAAGCCAATCAAGTTTGAAAAGGATGGGGAACAGAGGTACAGAGTACAGATAAGGCACTATATGAAATGCAAGGATTATTATTATTATTATCATCTCCGTCCATTGTGTTTCATTCGTAAAAATATCTTCAATGTCATAGCCCTAATCTGACAGTTTTCATCCAGCAGCCTGATATTTAATCAATGATAATAAACAAATCTACCTGTATTACGAATATTTAGTAATCACCTTCCAGTCAGTGTCTCTCCATTCTACCAGTTCAGGCATTGACTGGTGCCTATGTAGGTACCTGTTGAGACCTTCACCAAGTACCCATCCTTCAAGTGTAACCCTTCAACCTTTGCTAGCACCTGTTTGTATACTTACTCCTATTAAATACTTGTTAAATCACCTCCTCGTAAAGATGACTTGCAGTGTAACAAGCTGGTTTTGTTGTTTACAACATGGATATTTCTGTTGCCATATGGAAAGGTTGCATGCTCAGCATGTTTTGATGGTTGAAGCAATCTGTTATAACCTCATGGGAAAGAGCCAAGTCTACCCTATTACAAAGAGTAAATAAATCAATTCCAACACCTTATGCAAACAATGTATGTGATGGAATTTCACCTGGGTCGAGATTTCTCTATTAAATGCAGCATGTTTCAATGTGCAGAATTGACAAATTATTAACTTCAGCTTTTACTTTGAAATCCATTTTATGTGGTTCTTAAGAGAACTTTACAGAAACCTGGCTTCAAAGTTAAAGACTTTTTTTTAAAGAAATTGACAATTTCTGGACCCTCTGAAATGTTACATTAATAGAGTAAATCTAGGCCAGTGGAAATTCTATCCATCAATGTGCAAACAGATTAATATGAATTACAAATATTACTAAAAATTTCAGGCATATATGATTGAATAATACTACTAATCCTTACATTTGATATACCTATTTCACATTAGGAGAATATCTTAAAGCACTTCACAGGATATACTGTCAAGTGTAGTGTTTCTTGTTGTAGGAAAGTGTGAGAGTCAATTTGCCAAAACAATGTTCCACAAATAGCCAAAAAGTCAAAAATGTCAAATTTTATTTGGGGGGCAGACACCTGGAGAGACTCCTTTTTATTTTCAAATAGTTCCATGAAATTTTAACATAAACCTAAACAGGCAGATAGATCCTCAGTTTAACATCTCATCTGAACATCTTATACAATACCCACTTATTTTCCTGTCCGCTGCTTCCTAGTCTACAATATCTCCATGACTCTTGTGTTTGTAACAGATTTGTGGATTACTACAAGCCATCTATTTTAATGTCCGCACGGAGCATCTCCTCAGCTGGCGTTTCACCTCCTCCCACCCAGGCAGCTCCACTCCCGATTGTCTCGCTCCTTCCTCATACATCAAGCTGTTCTCCTTTGGACCTCCTCATTGATCCAGCTGGAGTCCAAATGGGGCTGAACTACGAAAGCTTTCTGCAGTACCATGTAGACGCCACATTGCAGAGGCATCTTTTATCCAGGTATGTGACAAACAAATGACCAAGTAAATGTCAAAAAAAAAAGAAGGTTTTAGTAGATATATTTTGATCAATGACTGGAGGGCTTCAATTTAAGGTAAGTAGCAAATGGACAAATGGGGAGGTTAGGGGAACTATTTTCATGCACACCAGTTAGGATATGGAATGCCCTACTGAGGTTGGTAGTTTAAGCAGTATCCATATTAGCTTTCAAAGAAAACTAGATTCATATCTAAAAGGAGGAAACTACAGGTGTATGGGAAAAGGCCAGGTAAATGGACTGATAGAAATGCTCTTTAAAGGAGCAAGCATAGACATAATGGTCCGAATGGCCTTCTGGACTATCATTTTCTATGGTTCTGCTCTTCTAATCCGGTCACCTCTTTGGAAGAACAATATTTTGAAATTTGCAAAGAACTTGTGTTTCAGTAACAACACTGGATTACACACCACTGGTGATTTTTTCAGCTTAATGTTCTTCTCACCTGATCATAAACAGCCAAAATAGTCACAATGATATCACAAATAGAGGTGAGAGATGAAAAGTCACATAGTGCACGTTTCAGCCTTTAATTTACTATCATTAGTGTAATATTCCCATTGTATTATCCATCCATTTGAAGGAGCTAGATTCTCTTTGATCCATATTTCACCCTTTGGCAGATAAATATTTATCAGGTTTTGCACAGAATCAAAGAACGAAAATGTATTTTTGAACACATTTATTCAAAACATGACTGCTTTAGGCTTTCAAACATCTGAACCCCTTCACAATTTGTAACAGACTCATTTTGCATTGATCAAATAGATCAAAATGTTCCTTGTCAACTATGTTTGTGGCTTTTTTAAAAATCCTTTCCAAAGTAATGAGGTTTTTTTAAAAAATCCTTTCCAAAGTAACGAGCTAAGGAAGATAGCTGTTTTTTTTACATAGATCAAAGACTCATTGGAAGGAAATCAGGTTAGATTTGCACATTATGGTTAATCATCATAAATAAATGCATTTAAGCTTATATCTGTATTTTATCACTGTATGATTATGAAAATAGATCTCATGAATAACAATAATCTGAGCTACAGGTGCATTGAACATAAAAGGGCATTCATTCCTATGTTTGTTCTATCCATTGATTGCAAAACCAGCAAATGACATTAGTAAATCTCCCTTCGAGCCCAAGGCCAAATATCCGAGGAATGCTTTCAGATTGGCCTGTCCCCTCAAGGGAAATGGAAACACTGGCAATGGTGATAAAAAATGCATCAGAGAAAACAATTCTTATAAAGTACTTTAAGGAAATCACGAGGTTAAAATTACAACTTGTGTGGGTAGAAATTCCACCTGGGTCTAGATATAATTTATTGACTAATTTTATTGGGTGACTGTTGACCAGGACACCATAGGATACTCCTTTCCCTTTCTGAATAGTACAATGGGGTCTTCAGACAGATGTGATCTTGTTTTAATGTCTCATCCAAAGGATGGAACCTCTAACAATGCAGCATACTATTGCAGTCTCATCTTAGATTACGTGAGTTCCAAATCCCAATTTGGGGCTTGAACATCAGCTGTTCACCATATATATAAATGACTTGGATGAAGGAATAGAAGGTTTTCTATCCAAATTTGCAGACGACATTAAGCTAGGAGGCTCAGTAAATTGTGTAGATGGGAGTAGGAAGTTACAAAGGAACTTAGACAGATTAAGTGTGTGGACAAAGCTGTGACAGATGGAATTCAATGCAGGGAAGTATGAGGTCATCCACTATGGACCGAAAAAAATAAAGCAGAATATTTTCTTAATGGGGAGAAATTAAAAACTGTGGAGGAGCAAAGGGATTCCACAAATCACTAAAAACTAGTTCCCAGCTGCAAAAGGTAATCAAAAAGGTGAATGGAATGTTTGCCTTTATAATAAAAATAATAATAATCCTTGCATTTAATATAGCGCTTTTCACATCTTCTAGACATCCCAAAGCGCTTCACAGAATATACTGTAAAGTGAATTGACTGTATATTTGTGGGCGAACGCGGCAGCCAATTGCGCACAGCAATGTCCCACAAACAGTCACAGATTGAAAATGACCAATTTATTGTTTTTGTTTTGGAGGGATTATTATTAGGCTCTGTGTGGAGTAAGGAAACTTGCCCAAGGTTTCGCCCTGCCTGGAATTGAACTCGGGTCTCTCGCTTGCAAAGAGGCCTTATCTCAAGAGGCCTGGAATACAAAGGGGAAGAAATGATGCTTCAGCTGTATAGAGCATTAGTCAGACCCCATCTGGAGTACTGCATTCAGTTTTGGGTACCACACTCAGGAAAGATATATTGGCCCTGGAGGGGTGCAGCGCAGGTTCACCAGAATGTTACCAGGGCTAAAAGGGTTAAGTTATGAGGAAAGGCTGTGTAAACTTAGATTGTATTCCCTTGAGTTTAGAAGGTTGAGGGGTGATTTGATTGAGGTATTTAAGATGATGGAGGGATTTGATAGGGTCCATACGGAGAAGCTATTTCCTCTGGTGGGGGAATCCAAAACAAGGGGCATAGTCTTAATATTAGAACCAGGCCATTTAAGAGTGAAATCAGGAAGCATTTTTTCACTCAAAGGGTGGTAGAAATCTGGAATTCTCCCCCAAAAGACCGTGGATGTTGGATCCATCCACACCTTCAAGAGTGAGGTTGGTAGATTTTTGGGTTAGGGTATTAAGGGATATGGGAAGAAAGCGGGAATTGGAATTGAAAGGATTAGTTGAGGTACAGGTCAGCCATGATCTAATTAAATGGTAGAACAGGCTCGAAGGGTTGAATGGCCTCCTTCAGTTCCTATGTTCCTAACCTACAACCTTCTGACTCAGAAGCGAGAATGCTACCAGCTGAGCCAGGCTGACACTATCCTACAAAGCCTGTAGCTAACATATTTAGCTTTTCGTCCATAAAATATATAAGAAGTCAATTCACTTTATTCTGTGAAGGGCTTTGAAACGTCTCAAAGAATTGGTAAAGCACTATATCAAATATAAGGATTATTATTATTTTAATGTGTTATGGAATATCCTAGTCTACAGTTCAGTCTTCTCAATCAGGAAGATGTGAACAAAATTCTACATCAATCCAAAATCATCTGCATGAACTTTCCCTCACGGTACCTCATCCCTACAGTGCTCTGTTTCTTGTTTGAATAAGTTCAAATGCAGAGTGAACACCACCTGCTAAACCATTTATGTCAGCCTAGAATAGATCTTCAAAATCTTTAGGCACCACATGCACAATTTCTCCAGATGTTTCTATACTCTCAGCAATCATTAACGCTATCTATAAAACATCTGTCCTCATTAATGGGTCACTTTGGCTGCAAGCACAGTATTGTTAGACCATCTGGTAGATAAACATCAAACCCAACTTGATGGATGATTCTTGATAATGTTTTTAATGACTTTAGTTTTTTTTCTCTTAGTTTCATTATTTCGATGAAGTTCCGAACACACGCAGCAGATGGCATCCTGTGTTTTGTGGCTGACTCTTTGACTGATCCTCGGGCTTACGTTGCCCTCTATTTGGTTGATGGTTACATCGAGTTTAAAGTTTCGACAGAAAAGGCGGATGCTCAGACTTTCACTGTGTTGAGTATTATTACCAAATTCCGCTATAACAATGGACAGTGGTGGGAGGTGAGTGCAATGCAACCACCAAACAACCAACAGGTGCTTTCTGTATCAATTTACTACCTGTAGACTTGCTTGTCGGGTTTTCAGAGGAACTTGCCTGAAAAATCAGTGTTCCACAGGAATTCTGTTTCATTACAACAACAAAACTTGCACTTATGTAGTGCCCTTCACGTGGGGTAGCGTCCCAGAGCGCTTGACAGTGGGGGAGTCTGACTCTGACAAGGGGGAGAGGGGGGGAGGGGACCGTAATCATGATCAAAAAGGAAGGTCTTTAGGTGGGATTTGAAAGGTGAGGAAGGGGGCAGGGCAGAAGGGATTGAGGGAGAGTTCCAGAGTTTCGGGATGTAGTGGCTGAAGGCACCGCCACTAATGGTGGAGCGGAAGGGACGAGGGACTGGAGGCTGGAGCCAGCTGAGCGGAGATGGAGTGGGTGGTAAGCAGATCGGATGGGTAGGGAGGTGTGAGGGCATGAAGGGATTTGAAAACGAGAGTGAGGATCTTGAAATCGATCCATTCGGTAATTGGGAGCCAGCGGAGCCTGGCAAGGACTGGTAATCTAATGGTCTTACAGCAAGTACTCCAGCATTCTCGCACACACAGATACACCACTTTGCAGTAAATCCTGTGAAGTGCTTTGTGACATCTCAAATATATAAGGCTCTGTATCAAATGCAAGGATTATTATCCCCACAGTTACCTGTACTACACCTCCTCCCACTTCATCTCCTGTAAAGATTCCGTTCCCTTTTCCCAGTTTCTCTGCCTCTGCTGCGTCTGCTCTGACGATGCCACCTTTCACACCAGAGCAGCTGAAACGTCTTCCTTTTTCCTCAACTGAGGATGCTTATCCACTGTGGTAGGCAGGGCCCTTGACCGTGTCTGCCCTATTTCCCGCAACTCTGCCCTCACCCTTTACCCCTCTTCACAGAACCGTGATGGGGTCCCCTAGTCCTCACCTTCCAACCCACCAGCCTCAACATCCAAAAAATAATTCTCTGCCATTTCTGGCACCTCCAGCATGATCCAACCACTAAGCATATCTTTCCCTCTAAGCACTCTGAGACGCCGTCCGGCGTGGAGGGCGCTATATAAATCCAAGTTGTTTTTGTTGTTCCCTCCCCTCCCTTCTCAGCATTCCGAAGGGACCTTTCTCTCCAATGACTCCCTGGTTCATTCCTCCATCACCACCAACAGTTGCTCTCCTTCCCCCGGCACTTTCACATGCCAGCGCAGGAGGTGGAATACCTGTCCTTTCACCTCCTCCCACACTACTATCCAGGGCCTCAAACACAGATTTCAAGTGAGACAGTGATTTACGTGCATTACCACCAATGTAGTTCACTGCATTCGCTGCTCACGATGTGGTCTCCTCTACATTGGGGAGACAAAACACAGATTGGGCGATCGATTTGCTGAACATCTCTGTTCTATCCGCAAGCACAACCCTAAGCTTCCAGTTTCTTACCATTTCAACGCTCCCTCCCACTTGCACTCTGACCTCTCCATAGAATCGTAAAATAAAAATGTAAGTATACTATCAGATTTTATCCAATTTTGACTGCACTTTTTCTAGTAATAACAAACAAATAAAGTTGTTGCCAATAGAATCGATCACAATCAGCAATTTTAGGGATTTTTCTTTTGTATGAGATTTCACATCTATTTGTGACTGTCATTACTACAGAGTGTTGCAATTTCCTTTATTTGATTTAAACCTTTTATTGGAGTTTGAATAAATAATCCATCCATTTGATATAGGGCCTATAAAATCGAAACATCTCAAAGTGCTACATAAGAAATTACTGTCAAGTGGAGTAACTGTGTACTTACAGACAAACATGGCAGTCAGTTTTGTGCACAGCAACAATAATAATAATAATCCTTGCATTTGATATACATCATATTGATATCTCAAAGAGCTTCACAGTATACAATATACTGAGTATTTGTGGGTGAAACGCAGCAGTCAATTGTGCACAGCAATGTCCCACATACATTGTGGATTGAATAATCACATTTTTTGGGAGGAGGGTCTATTACTCCTGGAAAACAATCCGCCAATCGACTAACAACTGGGTTCTTACTTATTGCTAGGTAAACAGTGGGGAACCTGGGAATCGAACCCCGGTTTTCTCACTTTTCTTTGTATTTTCAATTTGTATACTATCTTTCATGTCAGGAGGATGTCCCAAGGCACTGGACAGTCAGGGATCTGCACCCGAGCTGGTGGTTGGTATTAGGAGGGGTGGAGGGTAGGGGTAGGAGGGTGACCGAAGGCACGGTGTAAGAGGAAGGTCTTGAAGGAGGCAAGGGAGTGGGCGAGCCGGAGGAACTGTGGCAAGCATGCTGACCACTATGCTACGGGACTCCGCATGTGTCTGTGAGCTCCAAATCCCAAGATAAAATCCAGCAATATACTGTGACCTCAAAGTCTTAAAGTGGGGCTTGAACCCTCAACCTTCTGGCCCAGAGGTGGGTGTTTTCTTTTTGATTTGTTGGTGAGATAGGTGTGAATTGCTGAAGAACATACAGGGCATAAACTCATGATTTAATATATTTTTCTCATCACTTCCCAGATCCTGGTGTTGAGGATTAATGATTTCCTAGCCATTGTGAACACAGAACGGCGAGATTACACCAATAATAAGGCTAGCTCGTCACGGGTGACCTATATCCGGCTGCAAGGATCTCAGATAACACCTTTCTATGTTGGAGGTGTTCCACGTAATTTATTCCAACAACTGCAAGGCTGTCAGGTAATGATAGGCATTCAGATCACCAAACATAGCCAGCACCAAGGTTAATTTGAAACCAGTTAACAGGACCATTTAACAATTAAGGAATGGCTGGTTTCATTAAATTATCAGCAAATATACTAAACTACCTTGAGTACAGCAAATTGATGCCAACATAAGACAGCAGGGAACAAGAAAAGACCATTTCTATTAATCCTCTTCCTTTCACCAGCCACAAATAATGTGCTTTCTTCATATAGAACACTTTTTTTTCACTTTCTTCTTAACCCCACCAAAGTTTTTCAAATTAAAATTTCAGAATATCTATATCTAGCATAACAACATGTTACTGATCAGAAAATGCTGGTACAAATGGTGAACCAGCTACTCTAATGCCCCTGCTATACTGAAAGAGCAATGTGAGATTGCTCAGAACAGTGAAAGATGGCATATCATATCACTCAATGTATCACTCGCCAGTACTGAACGAGAGTATGACTTTAACTCAAATCCAGAAGTGGGTCTTGAACAGACAACCTTCTGACCCAGTAATAATTTGATATAACTGTAACTATTGATATAGTCATTTTTAACTTATATGCTTATTAGTTACCAAGTGGATTCCAGGGATGTATTCAGAAGCTGGAAATCAGTGCGAATCAAGACATTCCAGCAGTGAACTTCCTTCTATTGTAAGTTTTAACACTTAATTCAAGCACTCCGAGATGTCACCTGGCATGAAGGGCGCTACTTAAATGCAAGTTCTTGTTGTTGTTAATTCTTTTACAATTACGAGTTAACCCCCCTACCTGCTCCCTCTCCCATTCGTGTGAATTTCAGGTGAGGGCAGGATTGTACTTGGCTATGAAAGTATGCATAGTGAAATAGCTGGCCAATAATCTCTTATCACTCACTTGGGCAGACTATTGGAGGGCAAATCACACCAGTGCTTGCCCGACTCCGCCACTACCTCACCCCTCAGGCCGCTGAAACTCTTGTTCATGCCTTCATCACCTCAGGCTCAACTATGAAAACACTCTGCTTGTCGGCCTTCCTAACTCCTCCCTCCACAGGCTGCAGATAATCCAGAACTCTGCAGCCCGTGTCCTCTCCCACACCAAACTCTGTGACCTCCTTATGAACCCATAATCTTCTAACTCAGAGGCATGAGTGCTACCAACTGAGCTGGCAACTAACAATGATATCACCAACACCCAAGAAGTTTTGAGACAGCCCAATAAAGATGTCCTTAAAATGTTAGTGATAAAACCCAGCACAAGAAAACTATTTTTAATTATCTTTACTGTTTATTATATTTTCAGGACCTCAGAGGTAGCAGTGGGAACAGGGCCTTGTTTTACTGCAGTAACTGAAGGTGCTTTTTTCCAGGGCCATGGATACATCCATTTAGGTAATTTTTTTTGTTGCACTGCAGTAGGGAAATAAACTATTTGGATTTCTATAATATCTTAGCAGATGAAAACATCCCAGAGCACTTCACAGGTAATTGCTGTTTTATGTAGTGACTGTGGATTTGTAGATCAATGTGTACGCAGGAAGCTTCACAAACAGTCATAAGGTGAATGACCAATTTGTCTGTTGGCTAAGAGACTGGGAGAAATTACCTTTTTGTTTCCAATTGTGTCAAGGGATTGTTGATGTTCACTTGAACAAGCAGACAGGATCTTGGTTTTACATCTCATCTGACAATGCAACACTGCCCAAGTGCTGAACACAATGGCAGTCTAGATTATCAGTTCAACATCCTGGTGTGGAGCAATTGGCCTCAGCATCAGCAGACAATGAGAGTATATTGCCATACCCCCACCCCAATGCCGCCTCATTTGAATAGTCTGCTAACACTGACAAATGTTCGAAATACTGGAGAGAGACTTCCACCAATGGAACCTTACCTCAGAAGAAAAGCAGTCAAACAGCATCAGGGTTAAGGAAAAGTAAAGCTAGATATAAAAAAGGGGCTATTGTGTCCCCAGTGATGGCTACATTGGAAACAATTCAAGGGACAGTCTGATGGTTTCAGCTGCCCCTTACATATTAAGATATGAATCTGGTTTTAATAGGAGAGGAACATGTGGTCCATTGTGATTTCTTTCACTAGTATACTGATGTGCGGACGCCAATTTTGTCTTGCAGGGAAATTTGCTGCCAATGATGTTACTATTTCTCTCTCCATTAAAACTCATCAAAGAAGTGGTTTACTTCTGCAGTTGTTGGAGCCCTCTAGTGACAAAGAACTGTCAGTAGGATTCCAGGAAGGACAGGTGAGAACCTGCTAGCCAGAGCTTAGCACAATTTATAACAATGGCATATTTGCTTACTATTAACAAAAACAGACAAGTATGCAAGCTAAGGCTACTTACAGCATTGATGTGTACAGCACACATGGTGAAGAAATGGAGTTTAAAAAAAGTTACAAACTTTTGTTAAGTTAAATGAGTAGTGGTGTGCTGATAGTGCACTAGTTGGAATGCTGTTGTATAGAACACAGTATGACATTTCCAGTTTCCTATATGGCAAGTGTCTGGTCTTAGATGTGTCATTGGAAGGCAGCACAGATTGGAGGCTAGGTGCTTCCTCACTGAAGGGCAGGTTATACTGTGATAATCAACCGGCAGCTACTGCAGATGGATGATAATAATAATGTCATAATAGTCTTTGCATTTGAATATAGACCTCCTAATGCCCCAAAGAGCTTGACAGTGAATTGCTGGTAAGTGTATTGACTTCATTTATAGATCATCACACTAGCCATTTATACATCGTAATGTCCAAAATGGAACCATGAAGTGAAATGACTAACTTAACTGGAGGACTGTTGACTAGGACACTGGGAGAACCCCTCTTCTGTTGTGAGATACAACAATAGATGAAAGGGACTTTTATATGTTATTAATTAGAAAGCAAGACATATGAGGAAGATCGGAGTATACAGAAATATGTTTGGGTTTGTCATAGTAGCTAATACAGTACAGAGCAAATACAACCTCTTAAAAACAAAGAAAAGGTAATGGAGGAAAACAAGATGTTTTCTTTCAACATAGTCTTCGCTATAGGAAGTGAGTTATGACCTTTTCATTAGTTGAAGGAGTAATACTTGATAGTAATACTAGGCATAATATGATAGAAACCTGGAGTGCTTGAATATTTCTAAAGCAAAAGTACCTATGCTGACAGTAATTCATCTCATCTTCCACTCTGCATTTCTGGGGGCAGCAGAAAAGCATGAAAACTTCCTTTTGATCTTCCACTCCCTTTCTCTCAACTCCCACTCCCTACTCGGATCCCAAATCATTATTGTTAAGAAACTTGCAATGTCCTCCCAATGTAAACAGTGCTATCTAAATGTAGGTTGAATTGCAGTGTGTAATTAATGTGTCACTCTGATAGTTCGACCAAGTCAAACTTTACTGATTTATGGCCCCATTGGCTGAAAACTGTTTATTTGTTTTTAGTTTTGTCCATTTATTTGCTAATTTTCTCCCCAATGGTATATGCTTCTGCCCCTCACCTCTGTATACTGGAGTGCAGTTCCAAGGGTGAGAGAGTTATGGAGTGAGCATCCTCTGGGGTAATATATGTTATCGATGATCAATGGGTAAAGAAGAAGGCTCACACTAACATGGTTGCAGCTCAGGTACTTAAGACCTCACAAGATTACAAGATTAGTTTAGATGAATAAGCCCTTCGGCCCAACAGATCTTATCGCTTCGGAATATCTATCTTACTGTTCTCACATCAAAGCGTCAAGCTGTTTTTTTAAAATGCTGCCAGTGGCTTTTTCAATCCCATTTAACATTTTATGCATCTCTATTTAGTCCCCTCTGATTTGTCTTCCTTTAAGACTGAAGAGCCCTAGCCTATCTAATCATTAAGTGCATGTCAGAATTGCCCACATCTGTTAACCACTGGCAAGTAAAGGCAACGTTCATTTAAATATTTCTTAATTAATGACTGGAGCAGGTTGTCAGGTAGGTTGGGTAAGGCATTAATTTAGGAATCAGCTTGACACTGTGATGGAAGAAGGGAGGGTGAGTATTCTGGAAGGATAAGAGCAAATGGACCGAAGGGCTTCTTCATCCGAACCAATCACAGTTCACATAACATCCGTACTATAACATAGTTGTTATTATTAGTTCTACAATTACCGAATGAATGCTTTTGCTTAGTGAGGTTGTCACAATTTGTAACTTGCCTGTTTATTTCCACACAGATTGCTGTCAGCATGTCTTACAATCTCAGTCCACTTCCCGAGATCAAATTCTCACTGCTCAACCCATACAGGATCTGTGACAACAAGCCTCACAGCATTGAGGTCCGACTGCTTGAAAATGTGGGGCTTGAGATACGTGTGGATACAAGTATTCTGCTAGCCTCACCCATGCCTGCGGCTTTCTTCAAAGAAATAATGGACATGGATGTGTATTTTGGTGGAGCACCAGGTAATAAAACAAAACGCTCTTAACATTTTAATGGTTTCCATAACGGGGAGAACATGGGACAAGTTGGTAGGATCGGTCAGCATATCTTTTCAGGAAAGAAAACTAGCAATTTCATAGCGCCTTATCATATCAGAGAGTCTCAAAGTGCTTTACAGTAATTACAGTTAAGTGTAGTGACTGGTTTTCTAAGCAACATGGCAACCACTTTGTATGCAGGTGGTCTCACAGTTATGATTTGAGGGATTTTTTTTCTCTGGTGGATTGTTGACCCGGACACCGGAAGAAATTCCCTTTTCTTTCAATTAGTATCATGCAATACGACTTGAAAGTTCTGAATAAGCAAGACAGGCAAATAGTTTAATATCTCAGTTGGCAGATTGCTTTTTGGGGGTAATAACGCCTTCAAAAAAAATAATAATTTGGCCACTCAATCAACATCTGTTTGTGGGACACTGCTGTGCGCAACTAGCTGCCTCATTTCGCCCACAAATTTAGTCAATTCACTTTACTGTATATTTTGTGAAGAGTTTTAGATGTCTTGAAGATGTGATAATAATAATAATAATAATAATAATCCTTGCTGCAAGGATTATTATTATAAGTGTCAGCACAGATTATGAGCTCACAACCTTGTGCGACTAAAAGAGCCAAGCTCATGTAACAAGGCTTATATCCAGTCTAGAGGAATAAGATGATTGTCTCTAGCTACATGCAAGGTGCTTTTGATGCATGCTTACAATGGAACAATACTGTTATAAATCAATATTACCAGTCATATCTGGCAGCTTGTGAAAATATTACCCTCCTAAGGATCCTGCATTATTCGTGATGAGCAATGAAATAGATTGGGGAGCACCGAGCAGGGAGCGTCAACAATGTTGATTTGAAAAGATAATACTTTAGGTGGACTTTGAAAGCAGAGAAAAATAAAGCACGATGAAAACATTTAAGGAAGAGAATTCCAGAGGGTAGACATGTCATGGATGAAGGAGGCAGCAAAGCAGACAGATATTGTAACTAATTCTTCTGTTTCATGCAGCACCTTTCATGACAGCAGGTTGTCTCAAAGCACTTCATATTATTTACTGTAAAGTTGTATTTTCTACACAATGTAACTGCTATTTTGCACATAGCAACGTTCCAGAATAGCTATTGAGGGGAATGACCGATTTTATTTGGGGGAAATGTTGGCCATAAAATTGGGAGAAACTCCCTACTCTTTTTGACTACTGTCATGGGAACTTTAACATCCACTTAAACAGGCAGACGGCCTCAGTTTAATTCTCATGCAAAGTACAAAACCGACAACGATACAATACTCCCCCAGCATGGTGTTGGAGTATCAACCTAGACTGTTTGTTCAAAGTCCCGAAGTGGGGCTTGAACCCACAACACATGACTCAGAGCAGAAAGTGCTACCAGTCTGACATCTGGAAAGGAGTTACCCAAAGTACAATACGATACAAATTATGTTTGTGTAGTGCTTTTCACGTCAGGAGGACATCCCAAGTCACTGGGACATACAGTTTAAAAGAAACCAGACGGTAAAACAAAACACCAAGATTGCTGAGTGGCTCCATAAGCAGGAATGAGCAGCACTTGAGGGAGGTTAATATTGAAGCCAGAGGGTGGCAGAAATTGGCCGGAGCCAAAACAGGATGGTTTAATTTATCTTAACATTCAGATGTTAAGAGCAATGATTTGATGTCAAGACAGCAATGGTCCTAGAGTTGAAGGTGGAGGGAGGGAGGTAGAAAGTTGTGTGTTATCAGCACAAATATGAACAGCAAAAAGTTGATCCAATGCCTGTGGGTGATGAACCAAGGGGGAAGCACAATGTACACTTCACAATACATTTCTTTGTCTTTTCAGGTCAGCATAGTCCAGCAAAAAGCCGTGGCTTCACCGGATGCATATTATCCATGTTTATTAACGGAAAGGAAACTTCATTTCTTTCTGGTTCTTTAGAAAGAATCAATGTCTCCAGAGGATGTCCCAGTTAGACTAGCGGGTGTTAGATTTGTAGGAACACTGGTCAACATCTTAAAATGGATTACAATAGTGATTTTTACGTGACAGACTGATCTCATTTTGCTTCATTCATGGAGTGAGTCTTTTTTCTGTAGGATGTCCTATCCCTCTGTGTACACAGGAGTAATAGTATAATAATAATATGCAAATAAAGGATTTTTTTCACGCATGCACCAAATCGTATTTGTTTTTAAATAATCCTGAAAAGTTAAAATGCATATTAAAATAATCCTGATATTACATACACAACACTCATCCTGGCATGTGCAGCAAAATTCAAATTCAGTGCCCCTTACAAATTCAAAAACATTGCCCTCTAGTTCAAAATCATTACCCCTTAGCAATTCAAAATTATTATCCTTTAGCATGCAAGAGGGAGAAAGGAATAGAGGAGTATGGGATAGGGGATTAGGAGGGATGGCGATTCATATGGATTATAAACACTGGCATGGATGAGTTGCGCCAATTGTCCTGTTTCTGTACCATATCATTCTGTGTAATTCCGTACAAAACTTAATCTAAAGATGTCAATACTTGAAATGCCAGGGTTAGTGCTTCACTGAGTTGAATTAAGTCAGCCCCAAAGGTTGAATTTGTGCTGTCCTGCTCAACAGAGGCAGAAATAATTAGATACCCCCCCACCGATCATTGATTCCTTTGCTGCAGCAGACACTCTACACAGAAAGCTGTTCACCCCTCTCTGGTCAGTTCTTGATGTGCACCAAATGCCTTTTCACTCCAAAGGAGATATATTGACATAGTATTGCAGTTCATATTTTTGCTTGTAAAGAATTGATTCTAAGTATCTTTCAATATAATTCTAATTGTCAAATATTTAACATTTACTGTTGCATCTTATCTTGCTTAAAGATTAGAAATTAACCTAGTTAATGGAATTATCCAAAAGGACATTAACATTTACAACCATTCCTATATTATTCATCTAATCACATGTTCATCAGTGCCCTGAAATATAATGAACCTTCTTTTCCATAGTTCACCCGCAATGAGTTTTAATGAGCTTTTAGTGCACGCCAATGGAAGTTTAGGAAACAATTTCCCTCACCTCCAAATGATAGAACCATCACTCAATCAATGGATTGTCTTCGAGCTGTGGGCAGGATGGTGGCAATCCTCTCGTACTTTCCCTGCTGATCAGGAAGCTCGCAGAGTTCTTGGTACCTGGTATCCACCGAGTGAGAGCTCAAACTTGCTTTTGTCAGATGTCAAATGACCGACTAGTGACAATGCTCCTGGGTGTGTGGGGTGGGGTGGGCGGGGGGGGCGGCAGTAAGTGGGGTCTCCTTGGAACTGAACTGACTCAAAGTGATAGGCTTGCAACAGATGTTTATCAGGTCAACCCTCTGTGGCGGTCACGGTAGTCTGGTTTCTGAGCCATGTGGGTCCACAGTACTCCAGAACACTGTGAATGACAGGCCAGCCAGTCTGATTCTTTGGTAGGACTTGGAGGAGCAGAGGGTTTGTGATTATTTAACTGGTCATAAAATCTACTGTCCTTTCGCAGCAGGGGGTGCTAATAAGAATCTTACATTATAAATGCTCACTGTCAAAATCCATCATTAGCTCACACAGTTAAAGTTAATTTACTGACCAGATAACAGGAACTTAGCCGCAGAGGTCAACATATTTACTGACATTTACGGAATCCCCCATTCTTTGAATAAACACTGGAGGGGTGGGGGGAACTTAAGGGAAATAGGAGATTATATTTTAAAAAAAGCAACCTCCATAGCAGACTCGAGGATTAAATGATCTCGTTCCATTCTGAAAATTTCCGTTTCAATGCATATTTTCCTCTCCATTTTTACGTTCGCACTTCTGCTGAAAATATATGTTATGTCTGGTTTGATTTTTTGCTTGCCCTTTTGTATTTCCCAATTTGCAAATGCTATCCGGGCTCTGATTTTCTACAGTTGAATGTGAACAAGACTGAGGCCCTCCTGATTGGGTCACGCCTCCACCTCTGCACCTCAGGCTCTGGCAGCATCAACCTCCATGGTTGCACACTACAACTCACCAAGACAGTCAGGAACCTAGGGGTCTTGTTCAACCCTCAACTGTCTTTTCTTCTCCATATCCAACCCATGACCCGCTCTGCCTTCCCTCACCTTCGTAACATCGCTCGAATCCGCCACTACCTCACCCCTCAGGCCACTGAAACTCTTGTTCATGCCTTCGTCACCTCCAGGCTCGAATGTGCAAATGCTCTGCTTGTCGGCCTTCCCAACTCCTCTCTCCACAGGCTGCAGATAATCCAGAACTCTGCAGCCCGTGTCCTCTCCCGCACCAAACTCCGTGACCCCATCTCCCCCATTCTCGCCCGACTCCATTGGCTCCCTATCCTTCAGAGGATCCAGTTCAAGATCCTGGTCCTTGCATACAAAGCCCTCCATTGCCTCGCCCCCTCCTTCACATCCTTGAAGTCCCACTTCAAAACTCTCCTCTCCTCTTCAACCAAGGTCACCGCCCTTCCTCTCCCCTCCCTTCTCACTGCCTGACCCCAGCTCGGGTCTGAAATGCTGTACTTTGTCCAGCGCCTTGGGACATCCTCCCAACGTGAAAGGTGCTATACAAATGTAATCTTGTCGTTGTTGTTGTTGATGAAAATGTTTGAGCAAGAGCAATTTCCATTGTAGGAATCTGAAACCAGTATGATCAGTGTTTTAATAAAAGGTGGAAAAAAATACAAATTTGGCCTCCATCAGATGTAGGCTTACACTATGTTTCTGTTGTGGATCTCTCATTCCATACTTTTATTCAGAACATGTAATACAGGATGCTCTGCAGACCACTGGGCATTGAGGGGAATGTGAAGAATTAATTGCTCAGTGAACCTTGCTGTGTAAACCTTACTGAGCAGTGCCAATTGATCATGTAGTGTCCTGTTAATCGATAAGAAGCAAATGCGGCTGCAATACTTATTTTACTTCTTTTTTGCTCAGGTCTCTAACTGTATTTTTTGAACAGTGGGATCTCTGTGGTTCATTTCAGAAACTGTGCACAGACCAGTTCCCAGATCGCTTTTCCGGGGGTAATAATTGCTTCCAAAAAAAGATAATAAATTGGTTACTCAATCCACATTAGTTTGTGGGACTCTGCTGTGCGCAATTGGCTGCCGCATTTCGCCCACAAAATATATAGTCAATCCAATTCACTTTACAGTATATTCTGTGAAGCGCTTTGAGACGTCTCGAAGACATAATAAGGCGCTTTATCAAATGCAAGGATTATTATTATTATTTCAACTGGGATTCTGGGGGTCAAATCTCAAACCATGAGTGTAAACTAATCAACCTTTACACATGGGAGCATCTTACTCTCCAAATACACAATTTACATTTAGATAGCACCTCGACATCAGAAGGACATCTCAAAGTGCATCACACTGCTGGCTGGGTTCCAAACCAACAAGATGGAAGTTGAGGGAAAGATGTACATACTTGAAATTGACTTTGAATGTGCGGAGGGAGGATGAGCCACAAGATTTGGGGATAAGTATGTTAATAACCCATAATAATAAACTTCACATTTGATAGACGTTCTCCTTACAACAGGAGGACATCTCAAAGTGCTTAACAAGATATACTTTAAAGTTCAGTGACTGTATTTTGCAGATAAAAAGTCTTGTAATTCAGTCACTGTTATCAGTACAAGCTAAGGTTCCTTAAATCTCTATACTTCCTTAAAAAAAACATACAGTAGAACCTCACCTTTTGGGTATCTCGGTGATCCTACCAATTCACTCTCTCAGAACATATTTTCATGGCTGCTCCTTTTTTGATTTGAAACAAGCTGATGGTCACCAAATCCACATAAAGATATGAAAAAAACATTTTAAAAAGTACTGCTGATGTATTTTGTCAAGGAAGCGACCAGTAAGCTTGACGTACAAAATTCATTTTACTGAAATTAATCCAAATCACTACATTCCTAGAACAATACATCAAATACCAGAATAAACTATGTAACAGATCATAATTCATCTTGGAGATAATAAAACTGATCCCAAAGATTACAGTGTTCACACAAGCAAGCATTCGAGGCAACTCCTTATTACCTAGCCAAGCTTTCTCTACCACGATAGCTCACATGTCACAATAAAGTCACTTGGAGTACACTGCAACAAAAACATCTGCTGTTACATAGTCTGAGTGCATCCAGGGCACTTGTCACAAATGTTCCTTTTGACTGATCTGAAGTTGCACGTAACCAAACACACAGTGGCACAGTGGATTCAAACCAAAAAATGGCAAAACGTAGTAACAGTGACAGAATACATAACCCCAACCCCTGTCTCAACAGTGATAACAGAAAATATGAAAGCGGCAAACTCATTGACACAAGGTAAAACAATAACATGTGTATTGTAGAAGGGTACACAATGAAAAACTGATAGATATTCCTGCAGAATATTGTTTATACAACACCAGGCCAAATTGTTATAATTTGTTATACCTACTGCAATGTTTCAATACATCTGCACATGTCATGTGAACCAAGTATCTACTTATAAAATGATACGAATATTCTGCTGAAGTTCCAACTCAACGTCAGCAAGACCGAGGCCCTCCTGATTGGCTCGCACCATCGCCTCCGCACCTCGGGCGCTGGCAGCATCAGCCTCCACAGCTGCACACTCAACCTCACTAAGCCAGTCAGGAACCTGGGTATCTTGTTTGACCCTGAACTGTCCTTTCTCCCCCACATCCGCGCCATGACCAGCACTGCCTACCACCATCTCCGCGAAATTGCAAGACTCCGCCACTGCCTCACCCCTCAGGCTGCCCAAACCCTCACTCACGGATTCGTCACCTCAAGGCTCGATTACGGGAACTTTTTCCTCATCGGCCTTCCCAACTCTTCCCTTCACAAGCTGCAGATCATCCAAACCTCTGCAGCTCGTGTACTCTCACGCACCAGGCTCCACGACCCCATCACTCCCATCCTTGCTCGATTCCACTGGCTCCCCATCCCCCAGTAGATCGAGTTCAAGATCCTCGTCCTCACTTTCAAAGTCATCCATGCCCTTGCCCCTCCTACCTCTCTGACCTGCTGACTTCCTACCAACCTGCCCGCTCCCTCCGTTCATCAGGCTCCAACCTGCTCCATGTCTCCCGCCCTACCATCAGTAGCCGGGCTTTCAGCCTCTCTGCCCCCACACTCTGGAACTCCATCCCATGGTCCCTTCGCCTCACTTCCTCCCTTGCCTCCTTGAAGGACGGTCTCAAGACCCTCCTCTTCGATCGTGCCTTTGGTCGTCCTTCCACCTCTCTGCCTTCCCTCACCCCTACCCCAGCTCTCCTCCATGCTCGGGTTCTGAGCCCTGACTATCCAGCGCCTTTGGATGTCCTCCTGATGTGAAAGGCGCTCTAAAATGTAATTTTGTTGCTGTTGTTGCTCTATTAATCCATCCATAGATATTTTAAAAACAATATTTACACCACTATATTTCCCAATCTACAGCTGTTTACTGAAGGAAAAGAAATAACTCAACTTTATATTAGGTTTTCGTAATGTCACTGCCCAAAGCATAGCCAATGACAGCATTCCAGTTAAAAAACTAGTTCTTAAGCAATTTTATACTATATGTGAGGATGTTTGTGTAGTGTTGTTTACCTCAGTTTACCTAACAGTAGGTAGGAACCTGGTTAAGTTGATTGGTGGTTCACTTTCCAGGGATAATAATCCCTCCAAAAAATAATAAATTGGTCTCTCTATCCATCCTGTAGCTCAGTGGTTAGAGCACTCGGTTTGCAAACGAGAGACCTGAGTTTAATTCCAGGCAGAGGGCGAAACCTTGGGCAAGTTTCCTTACTCCACACGCCTGATAATAATCCCTCCAAAAACAAAAATAAAATTGCTCATTTTCAATCTACGACTGTTTGTGGGACATTGCTGTGCGCAATTGGCTGCCGCGTTCACCCACAAATAGTCAATTCACTTTAGTGTGTTCTGTGAAGCGCTTTGGGACGTCCTCCCGACGTGAAAAGCGCTATATCAAATGCAAGGATTATTATTATTATTATGACTGTTTGTGGGACACTGCTGTGCGCAACTAGCTGCCGTGTTTCTCCCACAAATTAGTCAATCCACTTTACAGTAATTTGAGACTTCTCAACAACGTGATAAGGCGCTAAATCAATGCAATTATTATTATTATTCACGCCATGACTGGAGCACAGCATCATGGCTACAAAAGCAGTGCTGTACTCACTTGTCTGCTTTCAGGTTTCCTCGAACTGACAGCTGTGTAAGGTATGAGACTACACACATCTCCCTTTATAACTAAGACAATTAAGTTGACTCTTAACAACCCCCTTCAACTCTTAAAATAATTCACATATTTGTACCATCTCCCACTGCAAGAAAAGCAGAATAAAATCAGGGAAGGCAACAGGAACATTCAAATAAACCATTTACAGATAATAAAACAAGATGAAAATGGTTATCCCGGGAAATGATGGTTCTGAAAATTTCCATATTGAAACTTTGCCTTAAGTGTCACCAGCCAGTTCAATACTGTGTATTTGTTATGTGTAAGTCTTATAAAATCCAACTTATACATAACTTTACACAAGTCATGTATGATACAACTGATATAACTCATACTTTGCATGTCATATTAAATGTACGGTTCCACCTGATACGACTTATGTAAGATTTTTACTGTCGTTCATTGCAATGCTGTGCAATATGTAAGAACATCTGTGTAGTGTTGTATTAGCTCATGAAATCATTGTAGCTTCACTTCAATTCTCCTTGGTCTCCTCTGGCCATATATCAAGTTACAAGTGATCTGTGCCCAGGGGTATGCTTACTCGCTGCATTGAGGTCAAAAAGCATTCTAGGGTCACCTGTCCCTATTGTTTTGATATCTCGCCACTTTGGCCTTATGAGGTACGAGACAGCAGGTCAACGTTCAGTGACCTTCCTTTCCTCAGCTGAAATATCAACCTTTGCTTCTCATCTGCCGATCTTTGCAAACTCCGCTGATATCAGTAGCTTGCTGCACAGCAAACATAAACTTTTTTGACAAATAAAGTTCTTCAAAATCTGTTGTAGAAATGAAATCAAACAACTATTTGCGCACATACAAATGGCTACACCACAATCCCAAGCCACTGATGAATACGCGAACCAATTAATCTTTCATCTCCCTTTTTGCTCACAACCAAATCAATTGTGTAATAGCTTTCCGATCCATTGCAAGGTAAGTGGTAAAATCCAGTGCTCTAAAAGTACATAACTGCAATTTGAATCATGTGGTAAAACGGCATAAAACACAAGCCACAGGATACATAGTAGTCATATGTTCATTAATACAAATACATTCTTAGTTCATTAATCAAACAGTTTTTGTTTAACTAAGGAAGACCAATGGCAATCTGAAGTAGTCATAAGTCTTCTATGCAGGTGTGAATGTATGAAAAGTCCAACACTTGTAAAAGCTGCAACTCAAACAGCAAGTTGATATCACACTTCTAGAAACATAGAAATTTATGTGTCACTTATCAGCCATCTGTGTTATAGATATTTCAAAATATAAGTACGGTATCTCTGCTTGTATACATTTCTGATGAAGGTTGCTTTGACAATATTGATAAACCATTCCAACTTGAAGCAAGTTATCTCAATCTCTTGATGTACATTGGTTCGGAAAACCTCTCCCCCACCCTATCTGTCCCACCACCAACGATTCACCTTTCAGCCTTCTGCACCCGCTCCCTGGAACTCCATCTCAAAGTCCCTACTTGCTCTCTCCTCATTCAAAGCCTTCTCAAGACGACTCTCTTTTGACTGCACCTTTTCTTTCTGCAACAGTTTGGCCCCCACCCCCAGCTCAGGTGCCCGATCAGCAGCGTGAAGCACTTTTGAGACGTCCACCTGACATCAAAGGACTAGATAAAAGGTAAATTGTATTGTAAAATACTTCTACTTAGGAGTTACCCTGTACACAGTATAGAGCAACTACTAAATAGACGTATGTATGTGCGCACACATAGACACACAAATGTCACCCTCTGCACAGGAGAATTTGATAACTATTTTCCCCAACGAAAAAATGTATTAACAAGGAATTAATTTTCTCAGAATTGAAATTTGAGGATTGGTAAATCATTTATAAAAAAAAGATGGATTTCACTTGAACAGAATTTATCTAAGTTGTAAAAAAAAACACTTTTGTACTAATTTGCTGTAAATAACAGAATTGACAGCCATCAGATTTTTTTTGTTACCTGTGATCAATAACATAACATCCATTTGAAAATGATATCCCCTTAACCCTGTCTAAACAACAAATTGTAGCATTGATTTTATTTGTTTAAGTGTAATAGCTGCATTAAAACCTGGCTCTCACTACTTTTGAAGTTTGTACACCAATGTAACTCAAGCATGTCATGGTCATATACAACTTACTTTACAAAAAAATCTACATCTATAGAATGAATTCACACAAAGATATACAAAGGTTAATAAAAACTACTGAATCAACTCAGAATTCACAGCCTGCATGAAACCATCGTTGACAAGAAAAAATGATGAAAGTACTAACAGCTTAGTTTAGCACTCGTCACTAAATTTTGAACAAACTAGCATTTAATTTTAGACACATTGCAGCTTTCTGTTTCAAAGTATTGTATAGTGTAATCTTCAACTTCATCCAAATCCCTTTGCTTTAATCTTGAATGAGAAGCAGACCTTTAATTCTGTTTGCCATGTCCCTGGATCCAAAAGACTAACTGCATTTTTTTTCAGGGAGTTGCAGCAATGCCTTGTATGAGTTTAAAAAAGAGGAACTAAGCATTTGTAACTAATCCACTCTTCAGCCTCCTTGGGAATCTGTGCATCATCTGATTTGCTGAAGATTATGGTGTTTTAAGGCCTGTCACTGAAACAGAAAAACGTTACTAAGTTCATGAACACTCACAATGATTGTAAATATGATCTACATAAGGAACAAAAAAAAGGTACGTAAACAGGGATTCATGGAATCCATTTCACACATAACAAACTACTGGGAGAATGACCAAATTTATTTGGGGGATGCTTGGTGAGGACACCAGGAGAAACTCCCTTTTCTTTTTAAATAGCGCCATGGGACCTTTTAATATCAACTTGAATTGGGACCTCGATTTAAGATGTCATCTGAAGGATAGTTATCTAACAATACAGCACTGAATCGGTGTGGCACTGGAGCATTAGCCTGGACTGTGAGCTCAAGTACTAATATAGAGCTTAAACCAACAGCCTTCTCAAGCTGCGATATCCAACAAAAAACACAGATATCTGCGGATATCTGAATTGGGAATCATCTCTATAAACTATCTGGGCTCCATCACCTTCATCTTTAAAATGTAGAAATCGCTGACATGAACCCATATACAATAAATTCATACTCCAACAAGTTAATGCAATGGACCTCTATCATTGCACAAGATTTTTAATCAAGTTCCTTTCATTTTATTTTATTAGCTATAGCTTCCTATAGATCACTCCTCATTCTTTCAAATGTCAGAAAATAGATTATGCCATCTGAGATTCGCAAGCAGCCTAAGCGGTACTTCCACAGCATACTGAACACAGCCTCATTTTCTCAACTATCTTTTTATAGATCTGGTTCAGTGACTCTTAAATAGGCAGTCCCAATGATGTCTTTGGCATCATGCACACTATTTGTCTTCGGAACAGCCTGTCAAGCTCATTCCTCAAGTTTGACCATTTGATCCCATTTCTCCACTTTTTCTCCTCAACATTTAATGTCCTGTTGGCCAGGCTCCCTGTCCTATGAAACAAAGTCACAATAATCATTCTATTTCACACATTATTCTCCCAGTGCCTAGGATCTTACTATTATACAACATATGATACCTTATATTAATGGGTTGTGTTGGTGATTCTCTAAATAGTTCCATCAGAATATGCTTAGAAACTGGGCTAAAAGTACAGCCACAATTTTTCAGCAAAATCCACTACAAACACCCCCGTCTGCTACAGACCTGTAAACCCAGTGAGCTCGGCCCAGCCCTCTGCGGCTGTTGCTGGCTGTTTACTCGATGGCGCAACTGTGGGCAGAGCAGCTCCGGGCTTGCATGAGTGGTGCGGCGGGAAATGGGCTTCGCTCACCCCAATGCCCCGCTGTTGAGATTGTCTGTGTGTCTCTCTCCTCTGAATGTGTATCTCTCCTCTGTACGTGTGTCTGTGTGGTTGTGAGTGTGTGTCTCTGTGACTCAGTGTGTCTGTGAATGTCTGTGTATGTCTCTCTGTATGTATGGGTCTGTGTGTGTGTTGTGTGTCTCTCTGTGTGTCTGAGTGTGTGTCTCTGTGACTCTGTGGGTCTGTGAATGTGTGTGTGTGTCTCTCAGTATCTGTAAATGTCTGTCAGTATGTCTCTGTGTGTGTCTGTGAACACCTGTACATTTCTGTGTCTGTGTGCCTCTCTGTGTCTGTGAGTATATGAGTCTCTCTCTCTCTGTCTCTGTCTGTGAGTGTGTGTGTCTCTCTCTCTCTCTTTCTCTCTGTGAGTGTGTGCGGTGGCTGACCCTGGGAATCAGGAGTGGTGATCTCCTAGAGCCCCTCAGTTAAGACTAAATTAGAACTGCCTGCTTCCTCCGTTCAGCGGGCTCCGGTCTGCTCCATGTCCCCCGCCCGACCCACCCTACCATCGGCGGTCGGGCTTTCAGCCTCTCTGCCCCACACACTGGAACACCATCCCATGGTTCCTTTGCCTCGCTTCCTCCCTTCCTTCCTTCAAGGCCGGTCTCAAGACCCTTCTCTTCAATCATGCCTTTGGTCTCCCTCCCACCTCTCTGCTTTCCCTCACCCCTACACCACCCCTCCCCCATGCTCAGGCCCCAACACCTGACTGTTCAGGGCTTTGGAACATCTTGCCAGCATGAAATGTGCTCTATAAACGTAATGTTATTGTTGTTGTAAACTGTCAAATCAAATTTCCTTGCAATTTTTGGCAAATATTTGTGCAATTTTCTGTTGGCTCTGCTTATAAGGGCTAATTTTCCTATGTCTGTCTCTCACAAAATTAGTTTAATTAAACTATAAAAACCTTGGGCAAGGTTTCCTTACTTTGCGCGCCTAATAATAATCCCTCCAAAAAACAAAACAATAATAAATTGGTCAAATTTTCAATCCACAGCTGTTTGTGGGACACAGCTGTGCACAATTGGCTGCTGCGTTTCGCCCACAAATATACAGTCAATTCACTTTACAGTGTGTTCTGTGAAGCGCTTTGGGACGTCCTCCCGACGTGAAAAGCGCTATATCAAATGCAAGGATTATTATTATTATATTCTGTGAATCGCTTTGAGACATCTAGAAGACGTGAAAAGCGCTATATCAAATGCAAGGATTATTATTATTACATTTACATATCGCATGTATTTACCTGTTCTCCAGCTTGCTTAATATCTCCTGTATCTTTTTCACAAGTTTGTCATTCTGCCGCGCGTCATCCACCACAATACTGTGCAGTTTGGTCAAATAGGAGTCAACTGTGTCTAACGTTGCGTTTTCTCCACTACCTGAGAGATTTAGAAAAGATAAAAGGTGAGATGATGTTTGTATAATAACAGTCTTTACATTGAATATAGCACCTTTCACATCAGGAGGATGTCTCAAATGCACCCAATTTGCGCACAACAATGTACTGCAAACAGTCATGAAGCAAATGAGCAATTTTTTTGAGAGATTGTTGGGAAGGAGCGGAGAAAACTCTCCTCTTTATGAATAGTAACATGGGATCTTTATCATCCACTTCAACAGATTGGGTCAGTTTAACATCTTATTCAAAGTACAGCACCTCCAGCAATGCAGCACACCCCCAGAACTATGTTACAGTGTCAGAACATGAGTTCTGAGTCCAGGACCCACCACCTGACAAATTTTATTGTGTTTTTCTTTGGGTAGATTGTATGGGCTGCAGTAAAGCACACTAGTATTAAACTATGGTTTGTGAAACATTTGCAGAAGATGTTATACGTGGCACTTCCACCCGAGATTTATAAATTCATTCCTTATGACTTGTTCCAAGCATTTTCCAGAATTTCTTTGCTATCTTTTTGTAATTTTTTCACATCAACATGTTAGATCATCATATCAAAAACTGTTGTTACGAAAAAAAAAAAATCAGTGGGATTGAAAACTAGTCAAATTTAGTATTTGTAGAAAGTGGCCATAAAGAGTGTGGAGTTGAAAAGCGTTCAGAAAAAACACCACAGGACATAAAGAGCTATTGCGTTTTTAAAGATAAATGCACCAGTCATTTTTTGTAATGTCCCATCAAAGAGTTATGATGGAAACTGTCAACATTTTCATCCACAAAATATACAGTTAATTCACTTTAAAGTATATTCTGTGAAGCGCTTTGAAACAACTCAAAGACCTGATAAAGCACTATATCAAATGCAAGGATTATTATTATTATACTACAAACCTATCTGGAGTCTTGTTGGCCAGACCACCAGGAGAAACTCTCTTTTCATTTTGAACAGTGATATGAGATCTTTAATATCCACCTTAAGAAACATTCAGACAGAACCTGGCATCCAAACAATGACATTTCCATCAATGCTGCATTACCCACAGCAGGACTCTGGAGTGTCAGCCAAGGCTGTGAACTCAAGACCCGATAAACCGCTTGAACCCACAATTGTCTGCACGAGGGCCAAACAAATGCTGCCGACTAAGCCAATCAAGATTTCTGCTCAAGGTCTATATAATTAATGAGACCAATGAATCCCAGCTTGTTGATATTTTCTAAGTTACATGCAGTCCGTGTTCATTGGGAGGGCAGTTTTACAAACTGTACATCTTTATTTCTGACCTGGAAGAGAGACATTAGCCAAGCTAGATGTTAGCATCTGCCGTAAACTCTCGAGATGCTTCTGGATAGCTGAATTTTGGTTTTGCTCTTCCGACAACTCTTCCTCCAGCTTTTCCTTGGCACTTTTCATGTTGTCAATGTGCTTCTGTAGGACCGCATTCTGCTCTTCATACTCAATGTTAGCTTTTCGTAACTTTCTCAGCTCTGCTTCTTGAGCTGCAAAACAAAATATTTTATCATCTCATTCTAAAGTCAACAACATCTTCTATGTTGACAACAAATTTACATTTATACAGCTTATTTCACGTTAAATTCATCAAAGAGGACATATGCACAGGAAATTTATTTTATTGCATGTATTAGGGATAGAATATTTTTTTTGTTCCAGTAATAAGGCTGGCTAAATAGCCTACTCCAGTTCCAGTTAGTTTAGAACCATTAAATTGAAATAATAATCCTTGCATTTGATAGAGCGCCTTATCACATCAAGACATCTCAAAGCACTTCACAGAATATACTGTCAAGTGAATTGACTGTATATTTTTTGGGGTGAAATGCGGCAGCCAATTGCGTACACCAGTATCCAACAAATAATGATGGATTGAAGTGACCAACTATTATTTTTTTTTGAAGGAATTATTAACACTGGAAAAGCGATCCGCCAATTGACTAACAACCAGCTTCCTACTTACTGCTAGGTAAAAAGAAGTGTGGAGTAAGGAAACTTGTCCAAGATTCGTCCTGCTGGGAATTGAACCCAGGTCTCTCGCTTGCGATGCAAGTGCTCTAACCATTGAGCTACAGGACTCCATTTGGAAATACTTGGGACTACAGGAAATACTTGGACATTATATGTTTACTGTTTTTGTCCAAGCTCTGATGAGACTGGATAGGATATGCACATGGCCTTGACAATACAGTTCAATACAGATCAAGGGATGTTCGGATGAAGAAGATTTTCAGCTTCCCTGACCTCATCCTTCAACGCAGCATCAAGCCATTTCTTCAACGAGTCCAGGGTCCTGGTCTCTACCACCCTTCCTGGTAACCTGTTCTAGTTATTAACTACTATCTGTGTAAAAAAAAATACTTCCTGAAACTGCCCTTTTTATCCCTGAACAACAACAACTTGCACTTATATAGCACCTTCCATGCAGGGTAGCATCTCAGCTCTTAAACCTGTGCCTTCTCGTTCTATTCCGTTTGCCTCATTGAAAGTATTGTTTTGATCACATCTTCTCAATTGCATCTAGCAATGGGTTTTCAACTTTTCAATATAAAAAAGCTTGTTATAAGACGGCTCTGCTCTATGCCCAAATCTCCCCTTCTGTAAGGTCTTCCTCATAAATTAAGAATTAATCAAACAGGTCCCATATTGTATGTTCCAATCGGATCAGGCGGTGCCAATGACGGATGGCGTGAGAGGCGCGAAGTGAGGTAAGTCTTACTTGTTAGGAATGCAGACCCCAGAGTTTGTTTAACATTGCAAAGCATTATTTCTTACTTATTTTCTTTAATTCTTTTAAAATGTTGGAATTAAAGGTACTAAATTTCCATGGATTTATTGTGTGGGGTCCTCAGTCACAATGCCTAATGTTATGGGGGGCCTTCAACCCAGAAATTTTGGGCCCTCTGACTGACACTCTGTTGCAGTGCTGGAGGTGTGTTGCATTTGGATGTTGGTCCTTTGGATGAGATGTTTTACCGAGGCCGGATCTGGCTGTTCAGGTGGACATTAAAGATTCCATAATACTATTTGAAAAGAGAAGTGATTTTCTCACAGTGTCCTGGCCAACAATCCCCCAAATAAAATTGGCCATTCACTCCATGGCTGTTTGTGGGACTGTGTGAAAAATTGGCTGCCAGGTTTCCCCATAAAATACAGTCACTACACTTTACAGGATATTTCTGTGAAGCAGCTTGAGACCTTCTTGCAACATGAAAGGCACTAAAATAAAATGTAATGACTATTATTATTATTTGAGTGTTGCGGCACATTTGTAGTAGGTCAAATATTTAGTTGAAAAGCAAACATTCTTTACCTTTGTTATGATTGAGAAATTCCTCTGTAAATATAGGAATATCAAACATGGACATCTTTCCTTGTTTCTCGTCACTTTTATTCTGTGGGAGTAAAATAGATAAATCAACCCTGCAAGAATTTTCTTTATGTGGTCAACCCAATTTATGACAAAAAACAGAAACCCATCACCATGCTTAAGAGTACCGAAAACAGACAAGAATTCCACACATTTGCCACCTACACATGAAATTTCCCTGTGTCTAGAATGGAATGCGCACTGGAGGGACACATCTAATTCCAGAGAGCGTAAATTAACTGAGTAAGAAGGAAGGCAACTTTTTATTATTAATAAATGAAAAGTTTTAATCAGAATTAAAGAAATATATATTCCATATATGTTTTCATTCACAGTTTGCTTTGATTACAAATTGCAAGCTTCTTGAATTTTGGGAAACAATTGCTGTTGTGATTATCAAAATATTGACGTACATTATTTGTTAAAGGATTCTGGCAAAATTCTTTCTCCCTCACACTGGGCAAATACATATAAACAGATCTGAGCTGGTTCTTGATAGAAAATTAGGTATTTTACTTCTAAATCTAATTACATTGCAATTCTATTTTTCCTAGATTTGAATAACTTGCTGTTGAGACTCTACCTGCACATCGACATTTTGTGCATATATGGGAACGTGCACTGGAATGAATGGAAGGATTGAGTATGAAAGGATGGTCGTGAATACAATAAATTATTATTCAATAAAGGATCACAGACTCACTTTAAGCACTGAAAGCTGGCTTCTCGCCTGAAAATGTAGGACCTGGGTTCTTTTAGAAATCCTTTGTACATCAACGTCCAGATCTGGCTCCTTCTGCTGCATGTGTTTGACTGAGTCAGACTCACCTTGACTGAGGCCTATAACACCTTTAAGGCCTTTCTATGCTGTTTCCTCTAAGGAGCCGGAGCCATGCCCCCCATCGGTTGTGCAGAGCCTCCAGTTCTTCCAGGCATCACAAAGGCCTGTTGCCACTGCCGATCAGTTTACTTATGGTCAGTGTCCTACAGCCTCTCTAAGGATTCGCTTAGACTAGAAACGGTTACAAATCCATAAACTAGCTTGCACATCTCTTTGTTTGGACCCTTTCTTCCCCAAAAAAAGATGACATTAACTTAGGTTATAGAGCCACCTGGAGTCAGTTCTCTGCAGTGCACTACCAATTACTGCTGGGTTTACTGAACGGACGGTGGTTTACGTCTGCCTGACTAAGAAGATTAATTTCGACATATCTTGCCACTACAGAAAGAGTAACGCATTTAACTAGGCTCTAGGATGCTCTGTTGAAACTGTGCTTGAATCACACTGACAAATTAGATGCTACTGTAATATAATAATAATCCTTGCATTTAATATATCACCTTATCACGTTATTGAGACGTCTCAAAGTGTTCACAGAATATACTGTAAAGTGAATTGACTGGATATTTTATGAGTGAACCGCGGCAGCTAATTCCACACAACAGTGTCCCACAAACAGTTGTGGATTGAATGACTAAATTGTTTTATTTTTGAAGGTATTATTACTCACGGAAAGCAATATGTCACTCAACCAACAATCAAGTTCCTATTAGGTAAACCGTGTAAAGAGTATATGTAAAAGCAACTGGAGAAAACAAGACAAATCTTCTATTACAGTATTACCTAATATATCCCAAAACTTCTTACCTCAGCATGTACACCATTTGACATTGAATAAGTAGTTTCTAAAAAGTAAAAGGCACAGAATGAAAGTTAATTTAGAAAAACACTATTGCAGAAAATCATTAATCCTTAAAAGTTCTACTAGTATCTTACTGTACCTTAGGTTTTTTTCTTTGCAATCTGATGTACAATGAAAAGATATATATCAGTAAGTTTTTTTTAATTTGCTACTAGTAATCCAGTGCTTAAATTAGTCAAACACTTCTGCTTCGAACACGGAATTAATGATCAAAAGCAGGGCTACCTTTCCTCATCTTCTTTTCCTGGGCTACTTTTGTGCTCATTTTGTAAGCTTCAGTTCCCCGATATGCCTGGAGCTCCTTTACGTACTGCTGCTTTTCCCTCTCAGCTTCATCAAGATAACACTTCAAAGGTAGACAAATTGAAAAGTTAAAAAAAAATCACAAATATGTGGAGGTCAAAGACTGCAAGCAACACAAATTGTTGACTTCTTGTTTTAAATCTAAGAGCAGCTAAAAGCACAATGCTCAGCTTCAGAGACCAGAGGCAGAAGCAAAAACAGCAATACAGATTAGAAAAATAAATCTGCTCAAACCAAATTTACATTCTAGATCAGTCACACAGCGAATTAAAGCAAAATGGTGCAAGAAACGTAAACAAATTCATCTCTCCTCAATAGGAAGAATAAAAATGAGATGGAAAGGGACAAGTGGAATAAAGCACTTATAATAATCCTTGCATTTGATATAACGTTTTATCACTCTTCTAGACTTCTCAAAGCGCTTCACAGAAAATGAGAGGGAGACATACAGCCAGTAATACAAACAACAGACCTGAATCAACTTTAAACACTTCTGCTGGGCAGCACAATGCACTTTCCCAGTTACATTAAAGACACAAACCTGCTTTTCTTCAGGTGGGAGCTTGCTCCATTCACTTCCCAGCATCTTAGTGATTTCGGGAGAAGATAAATGTGGATGTTGTGCTCGTAATTGTTCACGCCGTTCATTTAAGAATCGCATGTATCCAGTCAGTGGGGCTTTCGGGCCATTGGGTATATTCTTTTTGCGTTTTTTTCCTTTTGGCCAACCTCTCTTCTTGGTCCCACGCTGCAGATTAAAATGAAAGGGCATATTTGGATTAATTGGTATGAAATGCTTCCTCTAAGAACAGTTAGCAATACAATATAATTTACAGTTATATGACACAAAAACTCCACTGCTTACAAAGTTGGGGAATTATTGTGGGTATTAGAATAGGTTTCAAGTAGTGAGGAGCGCTATATAAATTTAAGTTGGTATTGGATTTGATCAAATCCCTCTTCATTGCAAACACGGTGCCTACTGCAGTATCTATCTCACTGATCACACAAGCTCAGTATTTTTTAGAAATCAGCAGTGATCATTCAGTACGTCAGCGGTGATCATTTTGTGTGTGAGTCAGAAAGTCATGGTTTTAAGCCCCATGTTGGGACTTGGAACTCATGTAGTCTAAGGTGACACTCCAATGTGGTGCTGGGGGTTTGCTATACTGTTGCAGGTACTGGCCTTCAGATGAGATGATAAACCAAGGTTCGATTTTCCTTTTGAGGTGGATGTTAAAGATCCCATGCCACTACTCAAGTTTCTCCTGGTGTTTTGATCCAAATAAGATTGGTCACACACTTCATAGTTGTTTGTAGGATATTGCTGTATCAAATTGGCTGCTGCATTAATCCACAAAACATGCAGTCTCTGCACTTTACAGTGCATCCTGTGACATCCTCCCAAAGCGAAAGGCTCCAGAACAAGTGTAACGATTTAGAATTCAAGATCCAAGTCCTCACCTTTAAGGCCATCCATGGCCTTGCTCCCTCCTATCTCTCTGACTTGCTGACTCCCTACCAAACTGCCCACTCCCTCCGTTCATCAGGCTCCGGCCTGCTCCATGTCTCCCGCCCGACCCGGCCTACCATTGGTGGCCTCTCTGCCCCACACTCTGGAACTCCATCCCACGGTCCCTTCGCCTCACTTCCTCCCTTGCATCCTTCAAGGCCGGTCTCAAGACCCTCCTCTTCGATCATCCCTTTGGTCTCCCTCCCACCTCTCTGCCTTCCCTCACCCCTACACCACCCCTCCCCCATGTTCGGACCCCAACATCTGACTGTTCAGCGCTTTGGAACGTCCTCCCGACGTGAAAGGCACTCTATAAATGTAATTTTGTGGTTGTTGTTGTATTAGTATTACCATCAATTAATAAACTGGTGTGGATAGCACAAATTCAGCCATTGCAGCTCCTCAGAAAGTCTGACCCAAAACCAATGCTCATCTCACATGGTCAGATATAACTGGGAGTGATTTCAGGTCTACAATTCTAGTTTAGGTTTTAGATGACATTTTAATTTGTTCATAATTCAATCCTGTGGTTTACATTACATTAATTAATTATGTTAATCCTTGCATTCGATATAGTGCTTTTCACGTCGGGAGGACGTCCCAAAGCGCTTCACAGAACACACTGTAAAGTGAATTGACTGTATATTTGTGGGTGAACGCGGCAGCCAATTGCGCACAGCAATGTCCCACAAACAGTCGTAGATTGAAAATGACCAATTTATTATTGTTATTGGTTTTGGAGGGATTATTATTAGGCTCTGTGTGGAGTAAGGAAAGTTGCCCAAGGTTTCGCCCTCTGCCTGGAATTGAACTCAGGTCTCTCGCTTGCAAAGCGAGTGCTCTAACCACTGAGCTACAGGACTCCAAAGACAAAAATAAGCCAACCGCCTGGTAATCACAACATATCCATAAGAAACGTCACACAGAGTACAAAAACATTGGACTCTATTAAAAAGGAAGCAATTCATTTAAAGTGATCGAAGACAATCACTGCAAGCAGCATGTTTTGTTTTACATTCACAAACCTTCTCCTTCCCCGCTCCTCTGCCAAAGATGTTTGATTAAATTTCTAGGAGCAGTTCCAATGTACTCAAGTACCTCCTCAATTGCATTTATGTGTGATCCTCCACAGGGACTGGCAGTACATTACTTGACCGTGGGTTTATGGGGAAATAGAAATGCAGCAGAGTGCAATCCTGTGCCTACCTTGAACAGGGACTGCTGAATAACAATGAGGAGGGATACCTGTAGCTGAATTTCACTTGCTGAACCCATAACCCCTGAGGCCAATTGAAGGAGCATTAGTTTCATCTTGGCTTAAATCAGTTAACTCAAGAGATCGAATGGCTCAGTTACTAACTGAAAAAAATCACTGAGCAATCCAAGTCCACCCAGGTATGGTTTATGAAAGGCATTTGTCACAACTGACAAATTATTGGATAGAAAATCCTTCCCTGGCATTGAAAGACATGGAATGCTGGACTAATTATCCTCATATATTGAATTTGAAAATGTTTCATCCCATATGCCCCAGAAAAATAACCCACCTCTCTACATGAGGAGTTTCTGGCAGTATCCTGGGACAGCACAGAGCACCAACATGCTGTGCCTTGGGAGTAGTGGGATGTTGGTTCCCAATCTGAGTCACTGAGGCACAGTGCCAAGTGAAATCCAGATGCCTCCCCCACAAGGAAAGCGGGAAAAACCACAGGGAGTGTAATCCACGGACCTCTGCTGTGCAACTCCTAGCCAGGACAGAGCCATATACCGGAGATCACAGATTGTACACAGCTGAGTCTCAGCATCACAAACCAAATGAAAGAAGCAGGGTTTGTGCTAAGCTCCAACCCGAACAGCAGGAAAACAGTCACCCACGGATCCAAATCTTAAGCTAATGTTACCTCGNTTTTTTCGACATGTTTTTCATTTTTCTGTGATCCATTGTAAGTATCTTGGACTTCAGCTGACTCGCTTCCTTCTTGTTTCCCTAAATGTGGTGATCCTTGGGTGGTTGAAGATCTAGAAGGTAATACGATGCAATAGACGCAATCAAATAATTTCAAAATCAGGTTTCACAGTACGTTTCATCCACAAAATATACAGTCAATTCACTTTACAGATGATTCTGTGAAGCGCTTTGAGACGTCTCGAAGATGCGATAAGGCACTATATCAAATGCAAGTATTATTATTATAAGGGAGCTTCACATCACACCTAAAAGGGCCCATTTGATAAATGCCATTTAAACTCATATAAATCTGAAATTATAGCTGTGAAGTTTTTCATTGAATCTATTCAGCCAAAGTATTGAACTATGGCAAAAAGAAATGTAACAAAATGCCAATAGCAGGGTCTACTGCAAACCTCCTGGCTCAGGAACTGGGCTACCAAGACCTCCACAGAAGGTAGACTCAATTCTGACATTCTGTTGCCAAGCATGTAACCCAGGAGCCAATTCAGCACCAAGGAGACTTTGCTTACCTCTCCCTCCCTGGAGAATTGTCACCAATAACTGGAAGCAGCTTATTAACATCCACCTTTTCAAATCCATAATTTTAAACACCTCCATCAGATCCCCTCTGAATTGCCTCAACTCTGGAAAGAAAAGCTCCAACCTGTCTAATTTTTTTTATTGCTGTTATCTTCTGGTTCCTTGTAACATCCTTGTAAATCTACACTGCACTCTCTGCAATGCTGCAATATCCTACTAGTAATATGTTGACTAGTTCCCCAAAAATGATCTAACCAAGTTTTTATATAAATTTAACATTACTTCCTTTTAAGTTTCTACTCAATTCCATTGGATATAATGCCAAGAACTCAATTTGCATTGTCTATTGTCTTGTCCACCTGTGCTGCTAATATTAAGAGCTCTGTAAATCAGAATCACTAGATCCGTTTGCACCTCTGCCCCTTACGGTTAAGGTTTTTATTGTGGTCTTCATTTTTGCTCCCAAAGAGACTCACTTCACATTTTTCTATATTTTATGCATCATGGGCCTGATATATATATAAAAAACAAAATGGCTAAATAGCAAAGATATGATGTACAACTGTTGCTAAGTAGGCTAATGAGATTGTTTGACTTCACAGAAAAAAATACATGAGACAATGTCAAAAGAATTCACAAAACACAATGATTTGAATCTTCCAAGAATGCACACGCAATGACAATACTTGCAATCCCCTGATTTATATTCTACATCTGTGGAGACCCATAACGTAATGGTTAGCGCGCTAGCAAGCAAGACGACCTGGATTTGATTCCTGGGCAGGACAAAACCACAAGTAAGTTTCCTTACTCTGCATGCCTCTGTTTACTAAGCAGTAAGTAGGAACCCAGTTGTTAGTCGATTAGCGGATCACTTTCAGGGGATAATAATCCCTAAACAAACATGGTGGCTCAATCCACGGCTGTTTGTGGGACGCTGATATGCGCAATCGGCTGCCGTTTTTTGCATACAAAATACACAGTAAATCCACTTTACAATATGTTCTATGAAGCACTTTGATGCAAAGATTATTACTATTATGAGTACATACCCAGAATCTGGTGCGCAGTCCATCACCTGACCACACAGCAAATTTAAGAAGATCCAGTAATGTTCGTTGTTTTTATTTTACAGCAACATCTAGAATTCTAAAAACAAGTTCAAGAATTAGTTGGGAATTGCATACTACAGTATAACAGTACAATATAACACAGGTTTAAAAATTCCCCTGGGTTTCTCAGGCTACGGTAAATTCTGGTAAACAATTTGTAACTTTGGATCTACTGTACATCATTCACTGCAATTACAGTGTAAGGAGCTTCTCCCTTCCTCATTTTCTTCTCTTCCTGAAAGAGGTGGCTCATGCTGCAGTAAAGTTCAACAAGAGTCAGACGTACTCTAGAAAAGCGCTCATGTGTGAACGTAGATAGTGAATGACAGCAGCTGTTCAATTGTGCTTATGTACATATAGGAACACAGGAATTAGGAGCAGGAGTAGGCCATTCAGCCCCTCGAGCCTGCCCCGCCATTCAATACGATCATGGCTGATCTTCTAACCTAACTCCATCTGCCCGCCTTATCCCCATATCCCTTAATCCCTCTAACCTTTAGAAACCTATCAATCTCAGTCTTGAATATGTTCAAGGACTGAGCATCCACAGCCCTTCTGGGGGAGAGAATTCCATAAAGAAAGCGAGAAAAGGAGCACCGAACCAAACCTTGACTTGTGTCACCCTTTCAAGCTGCACACTTTCCAGCAGCAATCACAAAATCGTTTGGATCCGGGCTCTTTGGCCCATTTAATTCCATCCCTCCAAAACACCATTCTGACTGTTGAAAGACCTCTTGTTATTATAATATATTCTATAATATTCTATCATACTCTCTCTCTCTCACTCACTGCCTCTCTCCTCTATTATTCACACTCTTAACTGTATCGCACACAGAACACACGCTTACACTCTCTCATACATGACAGTGCATTGTATCACAATAGTATGTGTGCATAATTTTTTTTATTTTCTGTCATACTCACCAGCCTCTCCCTACAACAACAACTTGCACTTATATAGCGCCCTGCTTGCAGGGTAGCGTCTCAGATCGCTTAACAGTGGCGGAGTCTGACTCCGAGTCGGGGGGAGGCAGGAGGTGGCCGTAAGCACGGCCGAAGAGGAAAGTTTTCAGGCGGGACTTGAAAGCGGGGAGAGAGGGAGCAAGGCGGAGGGATTGAGTGAGAGCTTTCCAGAGTTTTAGGACATAGTGGCTGAAAGCACCACCTCTGACGATGGGGCGGGGGGTGCGAGGGATGAGCAGGAGGCCAGTGTCAGTTGAGCGGAGGTGCCGGGTGGTGGATTGGGGAACCCGGTGTTAAGGAATATCTGAGAAGGCCAGAGACCGCTTGCTAACCACACTGGCAGAAACCATTACCCCACACGAAAGCGATGTACCAATCGACTAACGACCGGGTTCTTACTTACTGCTGGTAAACAGAGGCATTTGGAGTAAAGAAACTTGCCTCAGGTTTCGCCCTGTCTGTGAATCAAACCCAGGTCCTACTACGGGACTCCAGAGTATATAGTATATACTTTCTCTGTCACACAGCACAGTGTACACTCTCTCTATCACATAGTACAGTATATACTCTCTGTATCTCACAGCACAGTGTATACTCTCTATATCCCACAGCACAGTGTATACTCTCTCTATCACACAGTATAGTATATAGTCTCTATCACACAGTACAGCATATTCTCTCCCTCTCACAGAGTAGTGCATACTCTCTGTTACACAGTACAACAACAACTTGCACTTATATAGCACCCTCCATGCAGGGGAGAGTTCAGAGCACTTAACAGTAGAGGAGCCTGACTCTGAGCCGGTGGCGCGGGGGAACATGGCCACAAGCACGGTCGAAGAGAAAAGTTTTCAGGTGGGACTTGAAAAAGGGGAGGGGGCAAGTTGGAGGGATTGAGGGAGAGTGTTTCAGAGTTTCGGGGCGTAGTAGTTGAAAGCGCGACATCCGATGGTGGGGTGAAGAATGCGAGGGACGAGCAGGAGGCCGGCGCCAGGCGAGCGGAGGCGCCGGGTGGTGGATTGGGGAGTGAGGAGGTCGGAGAGGTAGGGAGGTGCCAGAGAGTGAAGGGATTTGAACACGAGTGTGAGGATCTTGAAGTCGATCCGTTCAGTGATGGGGAGCCAGTGGAGCCCGACCAGAACTGGTGAGATGTGGGTACGGATTCGGTCCGGGTAGGTATGCGGGCGGTAGAGTACATTCTCTAGATATACTCTCGGTAGATATACTCTCTCTGCACACAGTACAGTATATATTCTTTGTCACTCTGTATAGTATGTTCTCTCTCTGTCACACAATACAGTATATTCCAAAAATCTATCGCTGGGATTTCCATGGGATGCATGGATATCTCAGCTTGGTTTGGATACTTTAAAGCATAGTAATGGGTCTCCTCATGTGTCAGATACCCAGCTGACCCCCAAAAAATACAGTATATACTTTTTGTCACACAGTAGAGTATATATTCTCTATATCACACAGTACACTATATACTCTTGCTAACAAACAGTACAGTATATTCTCTCTATCACACAGTACAATGTATTCACATTCGTACATCCAGCCCCCAGAATACACCTCGATCGGCCTATAGAGAGACAAGCAGCTGCTGCTCAAACTCCCCAACTCCATCGCTCAATGGGAAGAAACATGTGCCTGAGTTGCGAACAGGAACAACAACAACAAGATTTCATTTATAGAGCGCCTTTCACGTCGGGAGGACGTCCCAAGGCGCTGTACAGTTGGGTCAGGACCCGAGCAGGGGGGATATGGTCAGGGTGAGGGGAGGGAAGGGAGGGAGCGAGGAGGGGGTAGAGAGTCGAGAGGGGAGCTGAAGGCACGGTCAAAGAGAAAGGTCTTGAGACCGGCCTTGAAGGAGGAAAGGAAGGTGGTAGCTGAGATGTTTTGCCCACCGGGAAGCTCACAGGGACAGAGAGTTCTTGATACATACCATCCACCTCGTGGGAGCTTAAACCCGATGTCGGATTGTCATATGTCAAGACAAACCAGTCACTATCCTCCTGGGTGAAGGAGAAAGCAAGGCAAACAGGGTCTCCTTGGAGCTGAACTACAATCGTGCCAGCCCTGTGTGACGGTCCTGACATGAAAGGCACTTTACAAATGTAATTTGGTTGTTGTTGCTGTAATGCGGTTCTTGAGCCAGGCGGGTCTGCAATATCCACTGCTGAAGACCGCACAGCCAGCCTGGCTCATCGTCAGAACTCGGAAGGGCAGAGAAACATCCCACTCATATTCTACTAACCCTGCAAGCCAAAGTCCTGGCGACGAGGGTGGTCCCAGCTGGACAAGCAGCGGGAAAACTTGCCCGACAGTGATATCAATGGCAAGTGATGTGGTTCCAGCTGGTTAGACTTCAACAGTTACCACAACGCACACACTGCGGTCCCCAAACCTCGTCTCTTGCAACCTGCACCAAGTACTTTACGGAATTAGCCGAGCAAGAAGAGAGTGTGCATTTCATTCCAACGATCTATGTGTGGGATTTCCATGTGTAGGCGGGAGGCGTGCAATTCTCAGCTTGGTTTGAATCCACTCAAGCATGGTGATGGGTTTCTGCATGTGTCAGACACCCGGCTCACCATAAAAATATAGATTATTATCTGTCACACAGAACAGTGTATACAGTATATTATTATATTGTTATAATTCTTCTTATATTATTATTATAGTATCTCTCACTCACTGGCCTCTCTCTCTGCATTATATTATATTATTATTGTGTATCAGATTTTCTCACTCACTGGCCTGTGTGTACAGTGTAGTGTATTATTATCACTCACTGGGCTCTGTGTACAGTGTAGTGTATTATCACTCACTGGGCTCTGTGTACAGTGTAGTGTATTATTATCACTCACTGGGCTCTGTGTACAGTGTAGTGTATTATCTCTCACTGGGCTCTGTGTACAGTGTAGTGTATTATCTCTCACTGGGCTCTGTGTACAGTGTAGTGTATTATCACTCACTGGGCTCTGTGTGCAGTGTAGTGTATTATTATCACTCACTGGGCTCTGTGTACAGTGTAGTGTATTATTATCACTCACTGGGCTCTGTGTACAGTGTAGTGTATTATCACTCACTGGGCTCTGTGTACAGTGTAGTGTATTATCTCTCACTGGGCTCTGTGTACAGTGTAGTGTATTAATCACTCACTGGGCTCTGTGTACAGTGTAGTATTATTATCTCTCACTGGGCTCTGTGTACAGTGTAGTGTATTATCTCTCACTGGGCTCTGTGTGCAGTGTAGTGTATTATCACTCACTGGGCTCTGTGTACAGTGTAGTGTATTATCTCTCACTGGGCTCTGTGTGCAGTGTAGTGTATTATCACTCACTGGGCTCTGTGTACAGTGTATTGTATTATCTCTCACTGGGCTCTGTGTACAGTGTAGTGTATTATCTCTCACTGGGCTCTGTGTACAGTGTATTGTATTATTATCTCTCACTGGGCTCTGTGTGCAGTGTAGTGTATTATCACTCACTGGGCTCTGTGTACAGTGTAGTGTATTATCACTCACTGGGCTCTGTGTACAGTGTAGTGTATTATCTCTCACTGGGCTCTGTGTACAGTGTAGTGTATTATTATCACTCACTGGGCTCTGTGTACAGTGTAGTGTATTATTATCTCTCACTGGGCTCTGTGTGCAGTGTAGTGTATTATCACTCACTGGCCTGTGTGTACAGTGTAGTGTATTATTATCACTCACTGGGCTCTGTGTACAGTGTAGTGTATTATCACTCACTGGGCTCTGTGTACAGTGTAGTGTATTATTATCTCTCACTGGGCTCTGTGTACAGTGTAGTGTATTATTATCACTCACTGGGCTCTGTGTACAGTGTAGTGTATTATTATCTCTCACTGGGCTCTGTGTACAGTGTAGTGTATTATTATCACTCACTGGGCTCTGTGTACAGTGTAGTGTATTATCACTCCCTGGGCTCTGTGTACAGTGTAGTGTATTATTATCACTCACTGGGCTCTGTGTACAGTGTAGTGTATTATTATCTCTCACTGGGCTCTGTGTGCAGTGTAGTGTATTATTATCACTCACTGGGCTCTGTGTACAGTGTAGTGTATTATCACTCACTGGGCTCTGTGTGCAGTGTAGTGTATTATCACTCACTGGGCTCTGTGTACAGTGTAGTGTATTATCACTCACTGGGCTCTGTGTGCAGTGTAGTGTATTATCACTCACTGGGCTCTGTGTACAGTGTAGTGTATTATCTCTCACTGGGCTCTGTGTACAGTGTAGTGTATTATTATCACTCACTGGGCTCTGTGTACAGTGTAGTGTATTATTATCACTCACTGGGCTCTGTGTACAGTGTAGTGTATTATCACTCACTGGGCTCTGTGTACAGTGTAGTGTATTATCTCTCACTGGGCTCTGTGTACAGTGTAGTGTATTATCTCTCACTGGGCTCTGTGTACAGTGTAGTGTATTATTATCACTCACTGGGCTCTGTGTACAGTGTAGTGTATTATCACTCACTGGGCTCTGTGTACAGTGTAGTGTATTATCTCTCACTGGGCTCTGTGTACAGTGTAGTGTATTATCTCTCACTGGGCTCTGTGTACAGTGTATTGTATTGTTATCTCTCACTGGGCTCTGTGTGCAGTGTAGTGTATTATCACTCACTGGGCTCTGTGTACAGTGTATTGTATTATCTCTCACTGGGCTCTGTGTACAGTGTAGTGTATTATCTCTCACTGGGCTCTGTGTACAGTGTATTGTATTATTATCTCTCACTGGGCTCTGTGTGTAGTGTATTATTATCACTCACTGGGCTCTGTGTACAGTGTAGTGTATTATTATCTCTCACTGGGCTCTGTGTACAGTGTAGTGTATTATCACTCACTGGGCTCTGTGTGCAGTGTAGTGTATTATCACTCACTGGGCTCTGTGTACAGTGTAGTGTATTATTATCACTCACTGGGCTCTGTGTACAGTGTAGTGTATTATTATCTCTCACTGGGCTCTGTGTACAGTGTAGTGTATTATCACTCACTGGGCTCTGTGTGCAGTGTAGTGTATTATCTCTCACTGGGCTCTGTGTGCAGTGTAGTGTATTATCACTCACTGGGCTCTGTGTACAGTGTAGTGTATTATCACTCACTGGGCTCTGTGTGCAGTGTAGTGTATTATCTCTCACTGGGCTCTGTGTACAGTGTAGTGTATTATTATCACTCACTGGGCTCTGTGTGCAGTGTAGTGTATTATCACTCACTGGGCTCTGTGTACAGTGTAGTGTATTATTATCACTCACTGGGCTCTGTGTACAGTGTAGTGTATTATTATCACTCACTGGGCTCTGTGTACAGTGTAGTATATTATTATCTCTCACTGGGCTCTGTGTACAGTGTAGTGTATTATCACTCACTGGGCTCTGTGTACAGTGTAGTGTATTATTATCTCTCACTGGGCTCTGTGTACAGTGTAGTGTATTATCACTCACTGGGCTCTGTGTGCAGTGTAGTGTATTATCTCTCACTGGGCTCTGTGTACAGTGTAGTGTATTATCACTCACTGGGCTCTGTGTACAGTGTAGTGTATTATCACTCACTGGGCTCTGTGTACAGTGTAGTGTATTATTATCACTCACTGGGCTCTGTGTACAGTGTAGTGTATTATCTCTCACTGGGCTCTGTGTGCAGTGTAGTGTATTATTATCACTCACTGGGCTCTGTGTGCAGTGTAGTGTATTATCACTCACTGGGCTCTGTGTACAGTGTAGTGTATTATCACTCACTGGGCTCTGTGTGCAGTGTAGTGTATTATCACTCACTGGGCTCTGTGTACAGTGTAGTGTATTATCACTCACTGGGCTCTGTGTGCAGTGTAGTGTATTATCACTCACTGGGCTCTGTGTGCAGTGTAGTGTATTATCTCTCACTGGGCTCTGTGTACAGTGCAGTGTATTATCACTCACTGGGCTCTGTGTACAGTGTAGTGTATTATTATCTCTCACTGGGCTCTGTGTGCAGTGTAGTGTATTATCACTCACTGGGCTCTGTGTGCAGTGTAGTGTATGTTGTTGTTGTTGTGTTTGATGCTCTCACTCACCTCAGCTCTGCTGTGGTTGTGTGTCTCTCTCTCTCTCTATTGTCCTCTCTCGCGCACTTTCCCTGTCATTTCCGGGCTCCGAGCGCTGGGCTCTCCGCGCCTGCGCACTTGCACCGCCGCCCGCCCTGTGCAGCGCCGCCTGTGGCTGGAGGTCATTCAAGCGCCCCCCCCCCCCCCCCGAGGCCAAGTCAGACTCCGCTCTCTGGGGCCCGGGAGCGCGCCTCGCGGCGCCCTCTGGGATCTGCAGTCGTGCCTCCCTTTGTCGTCATCGCGTTCCCGCGGCGCTGAACTACAACTCCCAGAAGGCGCCGAGCACCGCCCCTCCCCCACGTGACCAGGTCTGGTGGTGGGCGGGTCGGTATTGTCGTTGTTGTTGTTGTTGTTGTCGTGGGTTTGAAATGCCTTTGGGCGCCGCCCGCGGTTTAAAAACATATTTTTAAATATAAAAAATATTTTAAACCCCCAAAAGTGTTATCCCCCCCCACAGACCTTTCCTTACACAGTTTCCGACAATACCTCTCCCCAAAAGCCGCTGAATCCCTGGTCCGTACCTCTGTCACCTGTTGTCTGGACTACTCCCACACCCTCCTCCCCCGGTCTCCCCTCCACCACCATCCACAACATACAGAGCATTCACTACTCTGCCGCCCGCATTCTCCCCCGCACCAAACTCTGCCGCCCGCATTCTCCCCCGCACCAAACTCTGCCGCCCGCATTCTCCCCCGCACCAAACTCTGCCGCCCGCATTCTCCCCCGCACCAAACTCTGCCGCCCGCATTCTCCCCCGCACCAAACTCTGCCGCCCGCATTCTCACACCCACCAAACTCTGCCGCCCGCATTCTCCCCCGCACCAAACTCTGCGCCCGCATTCTCCCCCGCACCAAACTCTGCCGCCCGCATTCTCCCCCGCACCAAACTCTGCCGCCCGCATTCTCCCCCGCACCAAACTCTGCCGCCCGCATTCTCCCCCGCACCAAACTCTGCCGCCCGCATTCTCACCCGCACCAAACTCTGCCGCCCGCATTCTCCCCCGCACCAAACTCTGCCGCCCGCATTCTCCCCGCACCAAACTCTGCCGCCCGCATTCTCACCCGCACCAAACTCTGCCGCCCGCATTCTCCCCCGCACCAAACTCTGCCGCCCGCATTCTCACCCGCACCAAACTCTGCCGCCCGCATTCTCACACCCACCAAACTCTGCCGCCCGCATTCTCCCCCGCACCAAACTCTGCCGCCCGCATTCTCACACCCACCAAACTCTGCCGCCCGCATTCTCCCCCGCACCAAACTCTGCCGCCCGCATTCTCCCCCGCACCAAACTCTGCCGCCGCATTCTCACCCGCACCAAACTCTGCCGCCCGCATTCTCACCCGCACCAAACTCTGCCGCCCGCATTCTCACACCCACCAAACTCTGCCGCCCGCATTCTCACCCGCACCAAACTCTGCCGCCCGCATTCTCCCCCGCACCAAACTCTGCCGCCCGCATTCTCCCCCGCACCAAACTCTGCCGCCCGCATTCTCCCCCGCACCAAACTCTGCCGCCCGCATTCTCACCCGCACCAAACTCTGCCGCCCGCATTCTCCCCCGCACCAAACTCTGCCGTCCGCATTCTCCCCCGCACCAAACTCTGCCGTCCGCATTCTCCCCCGCACCAAACTCTGCCGCCGCATTCTCACACCCACCAAACTCTGCCGCCCGCATTCTCCCCCGCACCAAACTCTGCCGCCCGCATTCTCACACCCACCAAACTCTGCCGCCCGCATTCTCCCCCGCACCAAACTCTGCCGCCCGCATTCTCACACCCACCAAACTCTGCCGTCCGCATTCTCACCCGCACCAAACTCTGCCGCCCGCATTCTCACACCCACCAAACTCTGCCGCCCGCATTCTCACCCGCACCAAACTCTGCCACCCGCATTCTCACACCCACCAAACTCCGCTCCCCGATCACCCCAGTCCTTGCCAGACTGCACTGGCTGCCTGTCCCAGAGAGGATCGACTTCAGGATCCTCACTCTTGTCTTCAAATCCCTCCACTCCTCTGCACCCCCCGACCTCTCTGACCTCTCTCCTCAAAACACTGCCCATTGCCTTTGCTCCTCCGGGTCTGGCCTCCTCCTCGTCCCCTGAGTCCTCCGCTCCACCCTCGGCAGCCGTGCCTTCAGCCCTACGCCCCGAGGCTCTGGAACTGCCTTCCTCACTCCCTTCGCCTCACCCCCTCTCTTCCTATTTTCAGGTCTCTGCTGAAGACCTTTCTTTTCGACCGCACCTTTGGTCACCTTCCTCCCCCTCCCCCTCCCCCTCCCCCTGGCCCGGCCCCGGGATCCGTTACTGTAAAGTGCTCTGAGACGCAGTCCGGCGTGGAGGGCGCTGTATAAATCCAAGTTGTTGTTATTGTTTCAAAAGCACTGAGCCTAAATCATTCCATTTCCATTTATTTCCATTTATTGAGCGCCTTTTACGTCGGGAGGACGTCCCAAGGCGCTGTACAGTTGGGTCAGGACCCGAGCATTGGGGGGAAATGGTCAGGGGGAGGGGAGGGAAGGGAGGGAGGGAGCGAGGAGGGGGTAGAGAGTCGAGAGGGGAGCTGAAGGCATAGTCAAAGAGAAAGATCTTGAGCAGATTGGCTCAAGATTGAAATCAGCCAATCTGCTGCCCATTGGAGGCCAAACAAGAATAAATAAATAATAATAAATAATAATAGTAATCCTTGCATTTGATACAGCACTTTTCACATCTCAAAGCGCTTCACAATTCACTGTAAAGTGAATTGACTGTATATTTGTGGACGAAACACAGCAGCCAATTGTGCACAGCAGTGTCCCACAAACAGTCGTGGATTGAAGTGATTAATTTTATTATTGTTTTTTTCTTGAGGGATTATTATCAGGCGTGTGACATAAGGAAACTTGCCCAAGGTTTCCCCTGCTGGGAATCAAACCCAGGTCTTTCGCTTGCGAGGCGAGTGTGCTAACCACTGAGCTACAGGACTCCACAGATAATCCTTACATCTGATATGTCACCTTATCAGGTCGCTGAGACCATTCTCTCAAAGTACTCTACAGAATATACTGTAAAGTGTAGTTAGTGACTGTGTTAAGTCCACCAAACTTTAGGCTACAAATGTATTTTTATTTCTGGCCGCAGCTCCTTACTGGTAATTTGTTGCCGCATTTTACCCACAAAATATACAGTCAATTCATTTTAGGGTACATTCTGTGAAGTGCTTTGAGGCGTCTCGAGGACGTGATAAGGCGCTATATCAAATATAAGGATTATTATTATTATTACTCTCAATCTCTCTGTCTCACTCACTCTCACAGGTTGTTCCAGTGCAGCGCTGGGAAAGTATGCAATGTCAGAGGTGCCTTCTTCCTATGAACTGTCAAACACAGGTCTTGTCTGCCTCTTCAGATGGACGTCAAAGATCCCATCGGAGTTCAAAGCAATGTGGGAGGTGACGGGGGCAAGGGTAGTGAAAATATCAGAGAGGTAGTTTTGAATGAGAGTGACCAAGGAGGTAAGCTTTTTGCAGGAAGAGGCCCAAAAAGGGCTAGGAGTTCAGATGACTAAGGCGACAGAGAGGGTGTGGAGGGTGATTTTTTTCCAGGAAGGTGGGGGATAGAAGTGAGTTGGATGGCAGGGAGTGAACTGAGACGAAGCAATGGTCCGAGATGCCTTTATCAGTGATGGTGATGTCTAACACCATGAGGCTCCTGGTAATCACCAGGTCTAGACGGTGACCATGGATGTGGTTGGCAGAGTTAATGTGGAGGGAAAGGTTGTGAGATGAGAGAAGGGAGAAGTCAAAGGTGCAGCAAGTTGGAGGTGAAGTGAAAGTTAAATTCGTCCAAGATGAGGCGTTCAGAACAGAGGCCGAGAGAAGATAGAAAAGAAGAGATGTTGGAGAGGAAACTGCAAAAGGGTTTAGGGGACAATAGATTAAAATAGATGAGAGATTGGTAAAGCCTGAGGTGCTCAAAGGAGGGGAAGAATCCAGAGAAGTAAGGGGATAGACTGAGTGAAGATCTGGAGATGAGAACCACAACGGTTGGGTTGTGGGGTATGATTGAAGATATAACCTGATAGGATGTCCTCAGTGCTGGAGTGGCCCTAGTGAGGGGAAAACTGACACCTGGGATGAACCAAGTTTCAGTGAGGGCGAGGGTATCAAGTTTTCGTTGACGATGAGGTTGTGAACTGTGAGGGCTTTATTGGAGAGAGAGCAAATGGTGCGCTGAGAGCTGAGCTCCTCATTGAAAAAACAGCAGAATGTGGGGTTGTGGGTCAAATTAATAAAACTATTATTAATAGACTGACAAAAGTTAAAAGTAATAAAGATATGTACGAGCTAAGTTGGTGGGGTTGCTTCTAAATCTGGTACTACATAGAATTACATAGAACCATAAAACATTATCTTACAAAAACATGCCAACTATTGCATGCCAGTGCTTGTATTCCACAAGAACCTCCAGCCCTCCAATACCCACCTCATTATTTCCTTCTCCCTCGTGAACACTATAATCAAAAGATAGTATCTAAATCAACTCAAAGATAAGTGTAGTTTTAATGCTGTTCCATTATTCCTACCCTACCAAACAAAAATACATTGTCATTTTTAGAGACAAAACAGAAGATGGCAGTAATATAGCATGATGATACCCTAACCTAAATGTGGTGGTGCAAATTGGAAAGTCACCTTGCTTGGGAGCAGAGTAGTCATTGTATACATCCTGTCAAGTTGAAGCACAAATGGTTTCCGGCCACATAGCTTTAGTGAGGCACACTGCACTGAGTTCAGAATACTCCCTCTTTGAATTGTAATGTTGTAAAATGGAGTGATATATGGATGATTCTCCTACCCTAAACCCTGCGTAGGCAGAAATTTACATTTATAATCAACAATGATTATTTGTCATCTGCAGCACTTTAAAAGCATTCTACCTTATAGGGGTAATAAACCCTTTGAAAAAAATAATATAATAATAATTTGATCACTCAATCCAAGACTGTTTGTGGGACACTGCTGTGCACAATTGGCTGGCGCATTTCGCCTTCAAAATATACAGTCAATTTACTTGACAGTATATTCTCTGAAGCATTCTGAGACGTCACGAAGACCT